AATGTCCTCCTTTACCCAGAACCAGCCACTTCAGGAGAGTCTCCTATGTGGGTTGTGTGCATTTTACTGTTATGGCTGAACCTCACTTGCCTTCAGTCCATTTAGCTGCAATGGCCCACTTTGCATGTTGTGGTCCAGGTTTGGTTCCTGTGCTAAAGGGCCAGTCTGGGGCTGCTATAAGTTTGTATTTAGTCAGTGTACCAGATACCGGCCCTCAGCTCATTTTTCCAGGCCACACTGAACTTCAGGACACTCTCCCTGCATCGTCCCCTGAGAAGCTTTCATTGTTGGGCAAGTCCTGCAGACAAACCGGATACCTACCTTCAATCCCTCTGCCTGGGCTGCAGTGACCCTGAACGACAGGGCTCTCTCCCTATGCTGCCTTTGAGAGGTTTTTGTTAGTGGGCAAGGCCAGCAGTCAGATCAGATGACTGCCCCCAGACTGTATGTTGGGACTACAGACACACTGATTGGCAGGGCACTCTCTTCACGCTGTCAGTTACAAGGCTTGCCTCCTGTGGCTATAGTGGAACTAGTGTGGGTGGTTACCTTCCCCTCTCTCCAGGGCAGGAGTCACTTTGCAGTGGTGCTGGTCCCTGCTGGGGCTGCTTGAAGGACGAGATGTGGCTGGAACTGTCTTGCAGGGATGTGTGGGCCACTCTTTTGATCTGATTTAAATCACATACTAATGATTTTTTAAGGTCCATTAGAAAAAGCTCTCTAATTTTTATTTAAGTTCAAATCAAGATCTCAATAACAGATCTCTATCCTGGGAAAATCAATTTTATGTTATTACTTAGTCCCAGTTTTAAAATGGGAATAATGCCTTAGTAGCAGAGTTCTCTCTTAGCCCTAGATACTGTTATACGAATTTAGAGATGGAAGAGTTGTATTCATTTTGAGGCAAGAAAATGCCAAGCAAAGAGAAGACAGCTTAGGAAGAGCCCAGCACCACTCAAGGAATCTCAGCAATAATTCTTAATTTATAACTTTATTCAATTTTAATCATACCAAAATATTTAGGGGGGAAACTTTTTAAAAGATCTTTGATATACTCATATTTATGGTATAAAACTCAAAACCTGATCTACTATAAAATTACCCTTTAGGGGCGCCTGGGTGGCTTAGTCGGTTAAGCGTCCGACTTTCGCTTAGGTCATGATCTCGTGGTTCGTGGGTTCGAGCCCCGCTTCGGGCTCTGTGCTGACTGCCAGCTCAGAGCCTGGAGCCTGTTTTGGAGTCTGTGACTCCCTCTCTCTCTGACCCTCCCCTGCTCACGCTTTCTCTCTCTCTCTCCTAGAAATAAATAAAAATATTTAAAAAAAAAAATTACCCTTTATTAGCAACTTGGGAAATTTGGTATTATATAAGAAAAACACAAGAACTCAAGGGCTATCTGGCCACATCGCTTCCTCCATTCCCTTTTCTCTGTGCCGAATCCATTTTGGCACAAAGCCAAGGTAATTTCCAGAAATTGGCAGTGCCCTGACAAATGCACAGCTGCTGCCCATCTCCAGGCCCTGCCTACTAATTTTGCACAAACCACTTCCTCCTCTTGGGGCTGAGAAATTCACAGGGCAAGGGAAGTGTGCCTGGAGGGCAGGTATGGAAGCACCACCTTGTGCTCTTGCCAAGTTCAAGAGCCCTTAAGGGTGACAGCAGCATCACCCCCTCCTGCCCCCCCCAGCTTCCTACTGAGAAAGGTGACATTCCAGCCTTGCCCTTTTACTCTCCTGCTCTTCCTTAATCTTTCTCCACTTGACTCTCAGTGTTTAAAGATTTTGCCTCATTTCCCCCCCCTGTATTCATTTTTTAAATTTTCTAGTAAATACTAGCTGTGACTTCTCATGCACTAAAAGCTCCAAACAGTCAGTTGCTGCGAGGGTACCTGAGCCAAATCTGGACAAGGAGAGAGAAACTGAAATGGCAAGAGACAGCGCAGATAGCGGGGAGCTGCCTGTGTTGCCTGTTTCCACGTAGCAGCTTCTTCACTGTGCGGTGGCAGTGTGTGGGTGCACATGTACACACAGGTAAAATTTAGCAATCTTTTCCTCCTACACTTTTCTTAAGTGTAGTCAGCTTTGATCATATTTTCAGAGAGTCACGGTGATGATTTCTTTCCCTTTGTTCTTGTACCTCTCTGTTTCTCTGCCTTTGTTGGTTGAGATTGGACCTGATATTCTTGGTGAGCAGAGGGAAGCCTCTTTGTCTATACACATCTGATACACGCCTTGAGGTTTCCCTTGCTTCTGCCCCCTCCCAGAGCATTGCTGGTTGTCAGTAGCTGGGTGGCCTTTCACTGCTCTTTTGACTGGTACAGTCCACCCTCTAGGTGGATACTTGTGCTTTCTTGAGAGTAGCTTTAGTGCATCTAAAATAACACTGTGAATTACTATTGTTTTTGTCATCAGTGATCATGGTATCAGGGCTATTTGCTTCTCTTTGAATAAACAAACAGCCAGACTAGGGAAAGAGTGTAGGATGAGAAAGGAGGATTTGTTTTGGCTCTGCCACTGATTAGCTGTTACACTGAGCAGGTCAGCAATATCATATGAATCTGAATTTGAACATATGAACATTATTCTCATAGGTAAAGCAAGTCGTTTGGACCATATTCCTTGGTAGACATTCCTTGATAAATATCAAACCAAGGGGCACCTCGGTGGCTCAGTCGTTTAAGAGCCCAACTCTTGGTTTCTGCTCAGGTCACGATCTCACGTTTTGTGTGTTCGAGCCCTACATCAGACTCTGCTCTGACAGCATGGACCCTGCTTGGGATCCTCTCTCTTCGCCCCTGCCCTGCTTGTGCGTGCTTGCTCTCACGCTTGCGCTCTCTCTCAAAATAAATAAACCTCAAAAAAAAAAAATCGAACCAAGTGTGATGAGCATGCTGAAGTTCTCTTCCTTAGACTCATTCCCAGTGCCACTGGGGACCAGTCTACTTCATGTGTACCCTTAACCTCGTAGAAATGGGAAAAGGTTACAAAAAAACATGTTTTTCTAACTTTTAGTGTATGATTTCATTACAATATGTCAATAGGGAGAAACTCAGAGTAAAAATTGACAAAAATGGAACTTTACCAGGAATTAACATAAAGTTCTGTAGTCTGATTCAAAGAACAAATTGCACAAATAGGTGTTTGGCTGAAATTCACATATTCCTTTGGGTGTTTGCATTACCCTCAAGTCTGATGTGAGCCAAAAGCACAATGTACACCCTGTGCTGTATAGCATAACCATGAGTCCCAACAGCAAAGGCAGACTGGAAATAACTGCTGAGGCAGTGGCCAGGTCACATAGTATCAAGTCAGCAGTCTTAAAAGACCTCAAGCAGAGCAAGGTAAGGGAGGTCAAAGGCAAGAGAGCTCAAGGTTGTGGCAGGAAATCAGGAAAACCAAATGAAGGGATCAGTAATGTGAAAGCTGAGAGATCAGCACAAAAGCAATGGGGTGGGGAGGATGGGGTGACAGGAATGAGGGTGAATTCAGCAAACAGCTATTGCTGTAACAGAAGGCTTCAGCCTTTCTTTTTATTTCTTTTTCCCTCAGACTTTATATTCCCAGCCCCTAAATTTCTCCATGCCCTAGAATTTAAGTCCACCTCCTAGCTAGCCTTATCCAACCCAACCTCATCTCTCTGATTTATTTAAAGGAAAATCATCTGCATTATTTTATGAAGTTTCAGAGCCCATATATGAAGGCAAGGCATTATCTTTACTGCTCCCCAACATTAGCTGGCTATTTCATTATTTCTGAGTTACCAAACTTCTCACGCATGCCCTAGTGGTTTCTGCTTGCCTCTGCTAATGCTCTTAGCCAACCTGACTTCCTTTCTTCTGTGGATCTCAAATCATCCTCCTTTCAAAGATTCATCTCGAGTCCTACCTCTGTTTTATTTTTTTAATGTTTATTTATTTTTGATAAAGAGCACACACAAGCAGGAGAAGGGCAGAGAGAGAGAAAGAGAGAGAGAGAGCGGATTCAAAGAGGGCTCTTCACTGAGAGCAGAAAGCCCTGTGTGGGGCTCAAACTTGTGAACCATGAGATCATGACCTGAGCCAAAGTTGGACACCCAACCAACTGAGCCACCCAGGTGCTCCTCAAGTCCTACCTCTTTCATTCAGCCTGAGTTAACTACCCTAGCCCCTATTACTGTTTGCCTTCTGTACAGCTCTATATAACAGAACATGGCACATTTGCCCTGGGGGGAGGGGATAGGAATTATATATATATAATTATAACTACCCTTAAGTAGTTTATAAGCTTTGAAAGGAATGAACTGTGTCTTGCCAAGATTGCATGGTACAGAAGAGAGTTTGGGAATTAGGAAAAATAACCTGGTATTCAATGATCTTTAGCTCCATGATCTTTAGCAAATATGTACCTCTCTTTAGGCCTTAACTTGTGTGAAAAATAGGCATAGTGGTTCCATGCTCTGGCTTCCTAATGACATGGATCAAATGTTTAGATCAAGATCAGAGCTCACAGCACTTTTTTCATCTATGAAGCACTCTAAGGAAGTGAGTGGTTATTATAAGAGATGCTATGGTGTTATTAAAAAGGAATTTGAGGATCTGAATTTTGAGTTATATTTTTATTTCTGCTCTACCACTTACCCAATATATGACCTTAAAAAGTTTTTTACTTCTTTGTAAAATGAGAATGACACTTTTACAAGGATTATAGTGCTGGTGCTGACTTATACATCAATTTCTAAAAGCCAACTGTAACTTTGCAAGCAGGTTGCTAAACTGTTATTAGCTTGAAACTTATCATGGGGAGAGTATTTAGACCACAGAAATCAGTAAACACTACAAATCAATTGCGGAGGCTTGTTTTTTTTTTTTTTTTTTTTTCCTGCAAAGCTGGCTACGCAGTATTCCATCATGTGGATGTATTTGACCAGTCCCCATTGTTTCCATGTTCTTGTTATAAACAGAAGTGTGGTAGCGTGGGTGACGAAAGGAAGGGTGAACTCCTGTCCTCTTCCTGTTTCCCCAGGTTTTGGAGCCCTCTCTTGCATCAGAACTCTGTCCTCCTAATCCTCTGAGCGTCATCTCCGGATCCTGGGCACACTCATGGCACGATGGCCGACCCTCAGGAGCACCTGAGCTGCTCCTCTTCCCCACACTTACCCTTGAGTGAAAACAGAACCTTCAATGCATTACAAGATGAGCTCACACCTACGGGGAGCCACCCTTCACCCAAGCTCCTTAAGGAACCGCAGGAAAAGGGGGGGGGACACACAGAGCTCCCCGAGAGCATGAACAGCCCCATCACCACAACAGTGTTGACGAGCGTGAGCGAAGATTCCAGGGACCAGTTTGAGAACAGCGTTCTTCAGCTAAGGGAACAAGATGAATCGGAAATGGCCGTGTCTCAGGGGAACAGCAACACCGTGGACGGAGAGAGCACAAGTGGAACCGAAGACATCAAGATTCAGTTCAGCAGGTCGGGCAGCGGCAGTGGCGGGTTTCTGGAAGGGCTGTTTGGTTGCTTGAGGCCTGTATGGAATATCATTGGGAAGGCATATTCCACTGATTACAAATTGCAGCAGCAAGGTAAGCTAGAGTGTGGACTTGGGACACATTTCCTGTGTAAACATACTGCCACCATTCACTGGACAGTCTCTGATTAAAAGAACTAGAACCAGATGAATACCCCATACCAATCGCCTATAAACCTTCTGACTGGAACAGATTCACATTTGGTTGGTCTTCTTTTCAAAGCCCATCTTTTGCAGCTGTCCAGTCAAGTGGTTTCAAGTACATAAAGGTTACATAAAGACAATCCACAGTGTTATGAGGGAGAAAATGTTAGTGCCCCTGTTCCTCCTGTCATCATTTTAAATTTCTATTTTCATGCATGTTTTCATACATATTTGGTATTTGAATACAGCTGTGTGGACACATAATTTATAAATAAATCACACAGTGAATGCATGTTTAAAAATTTTTTATTGAGGGGTTACCTGGGTGGCTCGGTCAGTTAAGCGTCCGACTCTTGATCTCAGCTCAGGTCTTGATCTCAGGGTCATGAGTTCAAGCCCCACACTTGGCTTCACACTGGGCGTGAAGCCTACTTAAAATTTTTTATTGAAAATTTGTGCAGTTGAAAAGTCTGATGGCCACTGGGTTGATTCAAAGCCAGACAGAAGCCACATGGTGCTGTGCCTTAAGATTGCTGCCCTACCAGAGGTTGTAGTAAAAAGGAATCATTTTCTTTTTTTGTTTAATTTTTTTAATGTTTATTTTTGATAGAGAACACAGTGGGGGGAGGAAAAGAGAGAGGAGACACAGAATCTGAAGCAGGCTCCAGGCTCTGAGCTGTCAGCTGAGAACCCGACACGGGGCTCAAGCCTACAGACCTTGAGATCATGACCTGAGCTGAAGTCAGTCACCCAACTGACTGAGCCACCCAGGCACCCCAAAAGGAATCATTTTCTTACAGCCAAGGCACAGAAAGCTCACAATGTGAAGAAAGAACAAGTATCTAACCAATGAGAAGCATTATTATGTCTAGATCTCACAGCTTTTGGAAAAGTAAATTTACTCTCATCATTGTGTAATTTGCATATTCATATATTCCAATTCAAGCATTATGGTTCTGAAGAGAACACATGGCCCTAGTGTGCTTTATAACTCCATTTATATTCCTTAAAAGAATTCTTTTCTTGTTGATAGCAGAAGTAATATATGTAGAAAGATTGGTAACTTACAGGTAAGTTTCCCCAAAAAGTAGAACTTTTTATCTACGACCCCTAGTTTCCACTATTAATGTTTTTGATATATATTATGTTAGTCATATTGTGTGTGTTTTTGTGTGCTATTAAAGATACAGAATCAAACTATTTTGTTACACTCTTTTACTTCACATTGTGAACATTTCCCATATCATGAAACATACTTCTTCAGCATTTTTAATGCTTGCATTATATTAAATTGCGTGAATGTGCCAAGATTTATTTAAGCAATTCTCAGTCACTTGGCAGTTTTCTGTTTTTAGTGATAATTAGCTACACTGCAAAGAATATCTGTTTATTATTTAATTTTCACAAATAAATTTGATTATGTCTGTGATTATTTTTATTATGTCTTTGGTTTCCTTAAGATAAGTTATTAGAAGAGGAGTGGTTGGGTTAAGAGGGTTTCTGGCTTTTTAAGGCTTTTGATAGGTATCTTGGTAGCCTTATGTAAATGATTGGTTAACAGTTCTTTCATCAGGACATTTTGGAAAGGACCAGAAATATAGACCAGAAATGAGACTGTTTTATTTATTTTATAACTGCATGTTGGACTCTGTGACTCTCTCTTAAAAATATGCTCATCTCTAAACACACACTCACTACCAAAATTCACACGGGAAGAAATAGAAAACCTGAACAGACCCATAACGAGTGAAGAAATCGAATCAGTGATCAAAAATCTCCCAACAAATAAGAGCCCTGGACCTGATGGTTTCCCTGGGGAATTCTACCAGACATTTAAAACAGAATTAATCCCAATTCTTCTCAAGCTATTCCAAAAAATAGAAGTCGAAGGAAAACTCCCGGACTCATTTTATGAAGCCAGCATCACTCTGATTCCCAAGCCAGACAGAGATCCAACAAAAAAAGAGAACTATAGGCCAATATCCTTGATGAATACGGATGCAAAAATTCTCAACAAGATCCTTGCAAATCGAATCCAGCAGCATATCAAAAGAATCATCCACCAAGATCAAGTGGGATTCATTCCTGGGTTACAGGGCTGGTTCAACATTCGCAAATCAATCAATGTGATACATCATATCAATAAAAGAAAAGATAAAAACCATATGATCCTGTCAATAGATGCAGAAAAAGCATTTGACAAAATACAGCATCCCTTCTTAATAAAGACTCTCGAGAAAGTTGGGATAGAAGGAACCTACTTAAACATCATCAAAGCCATCTATGAGAAGCCTTCAGCTAACATCATCCTCAATGGGGAAAAACTGAGAGCTTTCCCCCTGAGATCAGGAACACGACAGGGATGTCCACTCTCACCACTGTTGTTTAACATAGTGCTGGAAGTCCTAGCATCAGCCATCAGACACCAAAAGGAAATCAAAGGCATCAGAATTGGCAAAGAGGAAGTCAAACTTTCACTCTTCGCAGATGACATGATACTCTACATAGAAAACCCGACAGACTCCACCAGAAGCCTACTAGAACTGATCCAAGAATTCAGCCAAGTTGCAGGGTACAAAATCAACGTACAGAAATCGGTTGCATTTTTATACACCAACAATGAAGCAACAGAAAGAGAAATCAAGAAACTGATCCCCTTCACAATTGCACAAAAAACCATAAAATACCTCGGAATAAACCTAACCAAGGATACAAGAGATCTGTATGATGAAAACTATAGAAAACTTATGAAGGAAATTGAAGAAGACACAAAGAAATGGAAAAACATTCCATGCTCATGGATAGGAAGAATAAATATAGTTAAGATGTCATTACTACCTAAAGCACTCTACACATTCAATGCAATTCCAATCAAAATTGCACCAGCATACTTCTCAAAACTAGAACAAACTATCCAAAAATTTGTATGGAACCACAAAAGACCCCGAATAGCGAAAGTAATACTGAAAAATAAAACCAAAACGGGAGGTATCGCCATCCCAGACCTCAGCCTCTACTACAAAGCTGTCATCCTCAAGACAGTATGGTATTGGCACAAAAACAGACCCATAGACCAATGGAACAGAATTGAGAACTCAGTAGTGGACCCAAAAGTATACAGCCAACTGATCTTTGACAAAGCAGGAAAGAATATCCAATGGAAAAAAGACAGCCTTTTTAACAGATGGTGTTGGGAGAACTGGACAGCAACATGCAGAAGAATGAAACTAGATCATTTTCTCACACCATGCACAAAAATCAACTCAAAATGGATAAAGGACCTGAACGTGAGACAGGAAACTATCAACACCCTAGAGGAGAAAGCAGGAAACAACCTCCTTGACCTCCACCGCAGCAACTTCTTACTTGACACATCCCCAAAAGCAAGGGAATCGAGAGCAAAAATAAACTGTTGGGACCTCATCAAGATTAAAAGCTTCTGCACAGCCAAGGAACTGTCTCAGAAAATTAATAGGCAACCAACGGAATGGGAAAAGATAGTTGCAAATAACATATCAGATAAAGGGTTAATATCCAGAATCTATAAGGAACTCACCAAACTCCATGCCCGAAAAACAAACAACCCAGTGAAGAAATGGGCAGAAGACATGAACAGACACTTCTCCAAAGAGGACATCCAGATGGCCAACAGACACATGAAACGATGCTCAGCATCCCTCCTCATCAGGGAAATACAAATCAAAACCACACTGAGATACCACCTCACGCCAGTCAGAGTGGCTAAAATGAGCAAATCAGAGAACTCTAGATGCTGGCGAGGATGTGGAGAAACGGGCACCCTCCTACACTGTTGGTGGGAATGTAAACTGGTGCAGCCCCTCTGGAAAACAGTGTGGAGGTTCCTCAGGAAACTAACAATAGAACTCCCTTATGACCCAGCAATAGCACTGCTAGGAATTTACCCAAGGGATACAGAAATGCTGAGGCATAGGAGCACATGTACCCCAATGTTCATAGCAGCACTCTCCACAATAGCTAAAACATGGAAGGAGCCTAAGTGTCCATCAACAGATGAATGGATCAAGAAGATGTGGTTTATCTATACCATGGAATACTACATGGCAATGAGAAACAATGAAATCTGGCCATGTGTAGCAACATGGATGGACCTTGAGGGTGTTATGCTGAGCGAAATAAGTCAGGCAGAGAAGGACAAATATCATATGTTTGCACGTATAGGAGGATTAGGAGGAACTTGACGGAGGAACAAGGGGGAGAAGAAGGGCGGAAATGGTGGGGGAAAGGGAGAGAGGCAAACCATGAGAGACTCTTGAATGCTGACAAAAACTGAGGACTGATGGGTGTGGGGGGGAGGGGGGGATGGGCATGGAGGAGGGCACTTTGGGGATGAGCACTGAGTGTTATGTAGAAACTAATTTGACAATAAACTATTTGTAAAAAAAAAAAAAAAAAAATATGCTCATCTCTTTCAGTCGTGACTGTTGATGGTGTTTCCACAACAGCCAGTTGACATCAGTCACCACTGACCACTTTTCTCATTTTTTCTCTCATTTTCTCATATTTCTGAAACACCTTCTCTTCAACCAATACCAGCCTCTCCCTCTATACCCCTTTTCCATAAGTGTATTGGGATTTGTTGGCAAATCTATCGATCCCAGATCTGCTTTCCAGGATTTGTCAATCACAATATCCATTCCTGCTCCATGCAGTAATTCTTTGTCAGTCCCCAGGATCTGTTTGCCTGTCTGCCTGCCTCTCTCTCTGTCTTTCATACATCCTTCCATCCCATTCACCCTACACATTCCACCCTTCTTTGTCCTGCTGTGGTTTTAAGGCTCCAAGGAAATTAAAAAGTTTTCCCTTGTCACATAAAGTTTAGGGGTTTCTATGTTAAACAGTATTATTATTTTAAAAATTGGGAATAAAGATAAGCACAAAGGAGAAAATAAATATCACTTGTCATCCCACAACGCAGAGATAGCCACTCTCAATTTTTTACTTTTTTAAAAGTTCCCTCTTTTCTACTTAGACATGAAACCTACTAATATCTGCTTATGTGATGAACTACATTTGGTTTTAGGGTCTGGTCCAGCCTAATAATTATTTTGGTGGTAATTTGTAGGTCTCGGGATCAAATGCAGCATTGAGGTTCAGGTTCATAAAGAAGAGCAACAGACACATTTTATGTGTCTGTCAAAAGGAGCGTTAAAAACTTTTGAATTGTCCTGTAAACTTGTATTTAGTTGTGACTTTCAGAGAGGCTTATTTTAAGAGTAAATAAGAAACTGGCCTGCCCAGCGTAAGCTTACAAGGCAACTTACAGCTGCCTAACTCCTCAGCAGATGACAGGATTCCCCACTGCGGGCTAGGATTGCTGGGGACCGACCGTGAAAGAGACTCACTAGCCAGAAACTAGGTGTAGTTTTTTTTCCTTGTCAGCTCTGAGATCAGGGAGCTAATCTTTAATCCTGGATTACAGTCAACTAGAGGATAGCACACAGAACAGATGTGTCCCTGCATTTGGTACTTATGAGGACATTTCACTTGATTTTTCAAAAATTTTAATGACATCTTCATCTCCCACTTAGTATGTTGGTAGTGAAGTCCAAGTAAGGTAGTGTGTGTAATTGAAATCTTTTACTGCCAAATTGTTCCCAGTCCTAAAGCAAGTATTGTCAGAGTCAAGTCTGAATACAAACAAAGGAGAACTTATGCCTTAAAGTGGGTGAACATGCGGTTAGGGATCACAGTAGATACTGGAATTAAAATAGTAGTCATAGTGATGAATCAAAAGATAAAAGCTGGACAAGGGTACCAATGAACAGATACAAAAGCAGTAGAAAGTCCGGGACTAATCTCGGACCAAACACAGCCAAGTCACTCATCAAGTATCAGGGGCCTCCAATTTTTCACATCCTCATTATTAACATTCTTTTTTCTATCATTTTCCTATTCTGTGGCTCCCAGCTAGATCTTGATGGGGAGGTTGGGATGGGATAAGAGGACTAAATCACGTCAGTTGGTTTTACTTCTGATACTTCTGTCCAGTAAAAATATTGATGGGAAGGTGGTTGAAGTATTATTTCATACTCTGTTCCTGAATTGCCAGTGTGGTCCCCTCTATTTTTCCATGGATAATTAAGGCTTGGCTAAACATAGCTGAATAACACAGGCATGAGCTACGGTTGGCAGAGTAAAATTTGATTCTTTAGTATCGTATCATCAACCTTTGATATTTGAGTGCCAAATGTATTTATTCTTTGTATTTTAATAATTTGTTTATTTCTGGGGCACCTGAGTGACTCAGTCAGTTAAGCGTCTGACTTCGGCTCGGGTCATGATCTAATGGCTCATGGTTCAAGCCCCGCATTGAGCTTTGTGCTGACAGCTCAGAGCCTGGAGCCTCTTCAAATTGTCTCCCTTCCTCTCTGCCCCTCGCCCGCTCATGCTCTGTCTCTCTTGGTCTCTGAAAAATGAATAAACATTTAAAAAATTTTTTAATAATTCATTTATTTCTCATTTTATAAAAATACTAAATAATATGTATTATTTGTTTTAAAATAAATTGTAGGGGTGCCTACCTAGCTCAGTCGGCAGAGCATGTGACTCCTGATCTATGGGTCGTGAGCTTGAGCCCCACATTGGGCATAGAGATTACTTAAATATATATAATACATTAAAAATATAATAAATTAGAATATAAACATTATTAAATGATATGAAAAGAAAGAAGTATTTAACAAATTGGCTTGGAATCATTAAATTACTATATGAATTTGCGTCGGTCCTCACTCCATACACCAAAATAAACTCCAGACAGATGTAAAGTAAAATCAACTATAGATAACTCTTATAAGATTGGGCAGTAGAACAAATTACAAAGGAAATGACAGGCATCTATGAAAATATTTAGTTCAAAAAATAGTAAAAGAAAAAGTCCTTTTAAAAAATATTCTCTTCATATATATCAAAGAAATAGAAAACTCTTTCCAGTTGATGAGAACTACAAGACCTCAACAGATAAATGCACAAAGGATAAAAACGACCATTCATGCACAACAGATGTGAGTATTAAACAAATGTGGAGAAAATATTCTACATGGCTGGCAATCAAATTAGTGCAAACTTATAAAACACTACTTTACACCTAAATAAATTAGAACCAAAAAGACTATTGACAATATCTATTGCTGGCAAAGTTATAGTAAAAGGGACACACTTATACATTACCACTGTCAGCAAAAACTAGCAAAATCCTTTTGAAGGGCAGTTTCGAATGGTATATGAAGAGCCAGAAAACTGTACTCTTTAAGGTAAGGACTGAGTGTGAGGAAATAATATAAAGAAAGAAAAAAGTATCAAATTTAAACCTGCAAACAAAAAGAAAAAGGTAAAAGGGCACAATAAGCAACTATTAAAGCTGATAATAAAACCTGTAAATACACGGGAAATATACAATACATGAAAAAAGTAGAAAAGATCATATGTCACATATAACTTTTACATAGCTGTATACGTATGCGCAAAGACGAGAAGGTTAGATCAAAACTGAATATTGAATGGGATTGCAGGTAAAATATTTTCTTTTGTTGTTTTTTTCTAATATTTTCTGGTGTTTCTAGCACTTAACAGTAAATAAAGATTGAGTAAATATGGGGTAACACCCAAAGATATCTAATTTTAGAAGTTATTATATTAAAAATTAGGATAACTTGTGCATTTATGAAGAATATTGCCCAGTATGTTCTTGCCCCAGAATCCATTAAGAGTACTTTATTCAGCTCTTGAATGGCCAAAATGACACCGTGTTTAGTTCTTCATTGGACCCCTAACAAGTATACCCCTCTTACAGTATGCCATGGATATCTAGATATTGATATCACACACATATCCGTGTGTGCTGCACGGATAAACCCTTGGGGATAGAAGTGAGACTGTGTGAGACACGTAACTCTTGTCAGTCATTCGAAGCCAGCAAGATACTTGAAGCAGTCAAGCCTTTAGGTTACTCTTTCCCTCCACATCTTACATGGTATCATTAGATTGTGTGGTGATTTCGTATCTGTGAGCTATTTTTATTTTAGAGAAATTTGTTTTTATATAACATCCATCTAATTTCAATAGAGCAGAAACCTTTAATCTGCTCATAGCAGAACAATGGGTTAAATACCTATGCTATCAACCAGTCTCCCTATTATTTGTTGTGTTCTATGTAATCATATATGTAAGTCATGTTTTAACCCCTGTAATGAGAAGCCACAACTTATTAAGAATTTACAGAATTTCTTTTCTCTTAAGGTTGAGAAAGTTAGAGAAGAAGGAAATATAGTTCCCTTCTAGGTACTAATGACTTCTTTCTGCTGCTTCATCACCATAGTAGATGTGAGTTGATTTGCTTTCAAGACCAGAATATCTTCAAAGCTGACTCAACACTGCTTTGTTCAATGTTCTGCCAACAGTGACCTTTTAGTGATAGGTGATCTAATGAAAGTCTCCTGTAACCTTTAACATTGTCATCATCCTCTCCCCACTCCATGGGACTTCTGGTTCTTTGATGTTTATTTCTTAGTAGTGTAGAGACTATGCAGTGATAAAAAGTGGGGCAAGGAGAAGGATCAATGGATCATATTCTTCTTTTTCAGTTCCATGAGATTAAAGCACATATTGATTGAATTTTTAAAGTGCCTTATTTAAAATAGCATTTTGTTCACTATAAAAGTAATACAGACTCATGGTAAAAAACTAATACAGAAAAGGATAAAGAACATAATATGGATCATCAATAATGTCATCACTTAGAAATGACCCCTGTTACTTTTTTGGTGCAAAAAAATCAAAGTCTAAGATAGAAATTTGAAAATAGCACATCTATATGAGTAAATCTATCATGGCCAATGACCCTCTCAATTACTTAATGAGAGGCAATGTGGTACAGTGGAAAAAGCACTGTCCCTGGAATCAGCCAATTCTTGAGTTCTGGGCCAAGTTCTGCCACTTACCAGCTATATGACCGTGGGTATGTTCCTTAATCTCCTTGACTCAGTTTCCTCACCTAACAATAACCATAATAAGGCCAGATTTATAGGATTGTTGAAAGAATAGACACATGAGATATAAAGCTTTATTTTATACTAGTGCTCAATAAAAGGTAATTATTAATATAAGTATTATGCATAATTAGGTCCTTAGGAGAGTATCATTGAAAATTCATTCAGCAAGGATTAATTGAACATCTGCACTAGAAATTCAAAGAGGAATAAAACATCACTTACAATGGGTGATGGGATAGGGATAGTGGTATAGAGACAAATAGGAACTTATTGAACTTGGAAGCTTGAAGTGAAGAGATGGGGCCATGGAAATATCAAAATATATTTTGTTTGGAAGAGAGTCTATTGGAGATCTCTGATCTGCTTGATTTCATTGGTTTAAAACGGACACAAACTAATATGTGAGAATATCTGCTCTGTAGTACAAAGACTCATAGAAAGGTTATACCTTTTGGTGAGTTACCAGGTGGGAGTCAAAGTGTAGAGATCATTTTGGGTGATGCTGAAGTTGGTACCTTTGAAGCGGCTTTGTAGAATGGTCCCTGAGCAAATTCCAAGATCCCTTTAAGTTTATTTCTCACTTGTGTGCCTAGATACTTGGGAAGTGCCATTTGAGGAAATCTCAGAGCTGCAGTGGCTGGGTAGTGGAGCCCAAGGAGCTGTCTTCTTGGGCAAGTTCCGAGCGGAGGAGGTGGCCATCAAGAAAGTGAGAGAACAGAATGAGACGGATATCAAGCATTTGAGGAAGTTGAAGCACCCTAACATCATCGCTTTCAAGTAGGTCAAGGCTTTTTTTTTTTTTTTTTAAGAAATAGAAAGATTTTCTTTCCCCCAATAGCTACATATGAGTTCCTGCTTGGAAAGACATATTAAGAATACTCTATAAACTTACTACTATGCAAGGTGTTTGGGGAAGACATCAAAGAAGATTCAATGAAAAGTCATGTGCTTAAGGATCTTACAATCTAGCAGCTCTTTTTGCCAGAGCACACCCTTCTCAGAAAGGAGATACATGGGACACAGAGGGAGAAGGTGGATTCTTGTGAAACAGTCAGATCTAGAATCAAGCTCATTCATTAGTGGGATGACAGAGGTCACTTCAAGGTAACCTGTACATCTTAAAATTCACTTAACAAAACAAAGCTAGCATCTGAAGTGATCACAGAACAATTAGCCCCTGTGCAACAGATAGGTACTTTTGATTAGTTTCTATTAGCCTCCCTTCTTAAATATTAACTTGTAATAATAGGCACCATCAGAGTATTTCTCCTTGCCTCAAGTTTTGCTAGATCCCTTTTCAAGAAATGCCAAACACTCAGCTTTCTAAATCTAATGATAGTGGAGTTATTGGTGATAGTAAGTTATATACTATGTTCATTCCACAAAGTAGTCATTTCCAAGAGTGTATGAGTACATCTTTCTAGTTCAGACTGTTATTTTCATAATATTAGCAGGGACCACTAGCAAAAAGGGGAGGCACATAGATAAATTTGCTGAAGTTCCCAAATTTGGCAGTACTGAGCTTTAAATATGTGTAATCTCTTCTGCCTCTACCTTTCTCTTGAGTTCCCTGTCTTGCCAGCCTTCAAATTCTGCCCTAGCCTTCAACAAATGAATAGTGAGTGACTTTACAAGAGGGAAGATGAAGAACAGAAAAGCTAGTCTTTAGTTAGAAGGAAAGTTTAGAAACTAGAGCTTCTTGGTATATATAATATATATAGTATGACTGATGAGGTATGACTATATATATATATATATTTATATATAGTATGACTGACTGATGAGGCTACAGCTAAAAGTGGAATAATATACAAATTCCCCTTTCCTAATCTAGGAGGAACTTGTCCCAGACCCCAAGAGGGATCCTTTCTTGATAAAACTTTCATTATAAAGGTAAACAGGTCATGTGATAATTTTTCAGTGGAATCACATCCCTAAAGTAAGGAATAGAAATCTTGGGTGCCAGTTTTGTAGAATGGGTTTAAGTGAGTATTGAGGTGGTGTTTTGATTCCCAAAGAAGACCCCTGTATGGAAAGGGAATGAGGTGTGAGAAGAAGAGAAACATTCAGTTGGGTTACTAACTGAAGTGCTTGGATTTATTTCCTTGTAGAAGTCACATCCATACAGTGGACGTGGGAGAGAGCTTCAGTTGCTGTAATGATTCTATCTTTTGTTGTCCTAATAGGGTAGGAGGATATGAGGTGAAAATTAAGTTCTATAGAGATGAATTATAATCTTTCTGAAGATGATAAATTTCAAAAGACAATTGAAGGATTATTTATAGACAGACAATCAGAGACTCACCTCTTTCCTTCATTTCCTTCACTGAGAAAATCATCACTTCTAATATGCTACATTCTAAGTGGAAGGAAGGGCCTTTCATTTAACTTCCATTTAACTAAACTTTGAAGCTAGATCACTAGGATGCTGAGTTTGAGACACAGAATATTCTGTAGATTAGCATGGCTTTTTGGCCTCCTGAAGTGAGCTGGGCTGTCTGTCCCAGCTATGAAGGCTTCCCAGCGAGATGTCCTGAGTAACTAAAGGTAGAAATGTGTCCTATGAGTATGAGCATGAGAAGCTTTATTTTTCCTTCCTTTCTTTTGCTTTTTCCATTTTCCTTGCAACCTTTTCCCCACCTCACTCCTCTGACCCTCCTACCTACTTATGCAGTTTTCAGCATTTTGGACAAGTAATACCCTACCAGTGCCCCACTTTTAAGGCTGATGATGCTCGAATAGTCTTTACCTCCACATGGAAAACAATAGTGAGACTGTGCCCCTGGCCCATTACACCACACTCTTGAGGCATTGTGCAGTGTTATGTTTGCAGCCATCTGTGCCATGTGTTGCTTGGCCAATGAATCATTCAGGACCGTCTGGAAGATATGAAGGCATGATTAGATTTTAGTATGTCTCTCTGGATACCGATTGCTGTGCCTACAGCTTCCTTTGAAGTAAGAACCGTGTACAGAAGGGGAAGTGAAAGAGAAGAATTCTGTATTTTTTTCTCCCAGTTTTTTGAAAGCGATCTTTAAAAAAACCCAACCTGACTGTTCCTAATGGAATCAGGTGCCAAAGGGAAGAAAAGGTAGCAATTAGAAGTGATTATAGAGCTGCTATTTATAGCTACTAAGAAGCCTTGTCATAGTACAGGGTGGATGGAGTGATTGCTTCCTATTCATCAGTCAAGAAACATGAAGAGTACATAACATCACTGTTACCCTTTCTGTCTGTTTGTGTGACAGGTTAAAACATAGTTGAATAGGCTGCTGAGTGGCTTCAAACAAGTATTTATTTTGATATCCTCAAGTACGTTACATTGTTCCTGCCTATTCATTGTTTTTCTGTAATGAAAATGAAATTGACTGCTTATAGTTGTGGTATATTTGTACTTCACTGAGCTCTCCTAAAAGTTAGGTAATGGAAACTGGAAAAAAAATTTTCATTAGAAATGAAGATGAGAATTCTGGGTAGCTTAGAAAATGATTAGAGAGTAATAGAAACAGCTTTGTGGCATTTGACAGGCCTATGAAGAGCAGTTATTCTTCCTGACCTGCCTTTGTTATAAGACTTTCACATGATCACAAGTCACGGCCTCTAAATCCTCTTGTCATCATATCATTGCATATGATAAGTTTTCTTCTCTTTTCTCATCTTCAGAACAAAAGTTTGAAGTAGGGCTAATATGACTATTACCACTTTTCTAAGGGAACGTTAATATAGGAATCCCCAATATGCTTGTGTATACAGAAGTTAAAAAAGCAAAAGAAGGAGGCCATGTTGCATGGTGAGTGTGAGAACAAAGGCTTTGAAGTTATACTGGATTTGAATCCCAGCCCTGTCACAGGTATATGATCTAGGACAAGTCACTTTCCTTCTCTGAGCCTTACCTGTAAAAATAGAAGAGGTCATATTTATTGGGCAATGATTTGGGGGCAGATTAAATAAGACAAATAAACATAGAAATAATCTGGTTAAATAGATGTTCTTCCGTGTTAGTTCCCTTCTTCCTACCCCTTGCATCTGCATGTGTTTCTGTGAAGGATTTTATCAGCAGAGGAAGTTAAGTTGATGTTAAGAAGAAATATTTGCAAAAATGGGGCACCTGGGTGGCTCAGTCGGTTAAGCGCCCAGTTCTTGGTTTCGGCTCAGGTCATGATCTCACCATTGCATGAGTTCGAGCGCTGCGTTGGCTGACAGTGCAAAGCCTGCTTGGGATTCTCTGCCCCCCTCTCTCTCTGCCCCTTCCCCACTTGTGCTGTCTCTGTCTCTCTCAAAATAAATAAATAAATGTAAAAAATATATTTGCGAAAAGAAAAGGAAAGAAAGAAAGAAGAAAGAAAGAAAAGAAAAAGAAATACTTGTAAAGTGGGGTGCCTGGGTGGCTCAGTCGGTTAAGCATCTGACTCTAATTTCAGCTCAGGTTATGATCTTACAGTCCTTAGATCAAGCCCCAGGTCAGACTCCATGCTGGGTGTGAAGCCTACTGAGATTGTCACTCTCCATCTGCTTCTCCCCTACCCTACTTGCACTCTCTCTCCCAAAAAATAAAAAATTTGGAAAGGACTTGCTGTGAACTTCTAAGCCTCATGGTAGAAAGAAAGGAATCCAAAGAAGCCAAGACCTTCTCTTTAAGGAGCCTCTAGTCTGTATGGGGAGAGGAAAATTGCAAGTACAAAACTATTGGCTCCAGTGTAGCATAGGAATTTAGAGAAGAGAAAGATCTTCTTGGACTGGAATAATCAGAAAAGGCTTCATGGAAGATGGAGGAGTTGATGGAAGTACAGACCACATAGATATGTGATACATTACATAATACTGTTTTTATTCTAGGGGCACCTGAGTGGCTCAGTCAGTTAAAAGTCCAAGCCATGATTTTGGCTCAGGTCATAATCTCATGGTTCTGGGATCCAGCCCTGCATCAGGCTCTGTGCAAACAGCGCAGAGCCTATTTGGGATTCCCTTTCTCCCTCTCTCACTTACTGTGTCTCCCCTCTTGCTTGCTCTCTCTCTCAAAAATAAATAAATACAAACATTAAAAAACATTTTAAAATATTGTTTTTATTCTAAACAGAAATGTTTTTTAAAGACTGTATAATATAGAAAATTGACTCTTGGGTCCTCAGTCTAATTATCTTAAATTGGGCAAATTTAAAATTCAATTATTAGTAGTAAAAATAGCAATATTTTGTTTGAATTCTTTCTGTACACTATGTATAAAACCCCTTATTTAATTTTAACAGGAAGGTATTTAAATTATTCTTAAAGATCTAAAACAATACAATCCCTGGCCTACACACATGTCAGGAAAATTGCTCTTTGTCCCAGAGCGGAATGGCCCCACTGAAAAGCACCAGATACAGCACAAAACAGAGACAATCTGGAGTGAATAAAATTAACTAAAATTGTCTGTGTGCATAACAGGAAAGCCTATAGATGAGATGAGTTTTAATGGTAATTGATGAATCAGGAAAGATTATGCCTTTTAAAAATAATATGGGTCAAGAACTGGGCCTTAATTAGTACACTTATTAAATATTTTTAAAATATAAATATGGATACATGTATGTTTGTATGTATGTATGTGTTTATAAATGTGCTTGTGTTTTCTTGAAAGGGGTGTTTGTACTCAGGCTCCGTGTTACTGCATCATCATGGAATACTGTGCCCACGGACAACTTTACGAGGTTTTGAGGGCTGGCAGGAAGATCACACCCCGACTGCTAGTGGATTGGTCTACAGGAATTGCCAGCGGAATGAATTATTTGCACCTCCATAAAATTATTCATCGTGATCTCAAATCACCTAAGTGAGTTTTGGAGCTAACTTTTCAGCCATTTTGTTGTGTTGCTTGAAATAAGGAATTTTATCGAGCATAGTTGAAATTTTCAGACACCATGCTTTCAGTTCAGTTTAAATCGGCACAGTGGGTAATTCTATTTGCCTTTTTTTTGGATTATTGTTGACTAATTGACTTACCTAAATGGCAGATAGCTCCAAGCACCTGACACTAGTTTTCTCCTTTTGGTTGCATTTTGATTGTGCAACCAGATAATTAATACCAAGCATTCCCATCTGATGGCTTGGTTTGTTCTTTTCCTACTGTGTTCCTCAAAAGACCCAAGTTTTAAAAACTGAGTTTCAAAGATGTATAACAGGATAAAAATGGATAAATAAGACACTGAGGCAAAGAGAAAATAAGGACATTAGAACTAAAGCTTGCTCACAACTGTATGCCATAAGATTCTGTACAGTTGTAGAGGTAAACTATAGGTTTGGCTTTGACCTTCCTAGAATCTAAGCAAAGATGGAAATAGTTACAAAATTCATGGTGTCCATAAGATGATATAAACTGGCTATTTAAGAGAAACAGTTGTTTCTAGTAACATCTGTTTTCAAAATGATTCTTTGGCCATCAATAACCACTTTAAGAGGAGTGTTTATTCAGTTCCTCAAACTGCATGAAAGGAAGAAAGGAATTGATAAAATGGTATATTTCATTGTAGCTCCTATTTTTAAACATTATTTTTATTATTTCTCATCACATTTTTGGTTTAGAGAAGCGGAGAGGAATTAGTCTCTTTCCAGAAACGTGTGTGTAACACTTTCATAGTATTTTTTCAATATCCATAATCACATCTGCTTTGATCTTGACAAAAATTGTGTGGGGACGCTGCAACAAGTATCATTATTCTTATTTTATATAAAAAAAAAAAAAGCCCAAAATCATGGAGACCGGACTTGAATCCAGAACTTTTGGACCAAAAAGTCTAAATCCTACCTCATCGTGTGAAGGTGAAGGATTCAGTGAACCCTCTCAATGGAAGATACAATCAATCCTTGATTCTAAATTTCAAAGCAGCTCTAATGTATCATCATCATTCTCACTGGTGCTTATCATAGTCACTAGCTCCCTGAACAACCTCCTCCTTGCTTTACTTGCAAATAAACTTTATTATAGTCTTCATTCCAAAATCTGTTCACATTTTTACACAACCTGTTGCTTTTGTCACCCACTACATACACATAAGGGACACGAAATACTTGCCCAAGTTCTCTTTAAATGGTCTCCTTCTTAACTACCTTGTTCTCCTGAAGAACTGACTTTAGATGGAGAGGTTGGGAAATTTAATTTAATTTAATTTAATTTAATTTAATTTAATTTTATTTTATTTTATTTTATTATTTTATTTTAATTTTAATTTAATTTAATTTAATTTTTTTAATGTTTAATTTATTTCTGAGAGAAAGAGACAGTGTGAGCAGGGGAGGGTCAGAGAGAGAAGGAGACACAGAATCTGAAGCAGACTCCAGGCTCTGAGCTGGCTGTCAGCACAGAGCCCAATGCGGGGCTCGAACCCACCAACTGTGAGATCATGACCTGAGCCAATGTCGGCTGCTTAACTGACTGTGCCACCCAGGTGCCCCAGGAAATTTTAGAATATATAAAATCACAAGCTACTTTCTTTAACTCCTCTCATGTAGAGATTAGAGTAATAAGTCACCCAATGAGCCTTTCCCTCCGTTATCAGTATTCCCCTGAACTTCCAGCAGCCTTGGCCTCTTTGGGTTCCAAGCTAACTTTGAGAAGACAGAGATCAGTCTGGCTTGTAGTGGAGAGAGATTCCATTACCTGCATTAAATCTTAGGCTGTGTAGCCACAGCTTTGTCTCAGAGAAGACCTGACAAAATTTCCAACCTCATGTGCTCTCTCTTCTCCCCCCATGTCCGTTCCCTCCTGTCATGCCAGGAAGTCCCAGAGTGAGCAGTACAAAAGAGACAGAAGAGGGAGCTTCTAGCATTTTTCCTTCTAGGGCCTTATCGCCTTTTCTGACTTTCATGGTATATGATTCCATCAGCTTTGCAATTATGCCAGATGTCCCATGATATTTAAATCCTTATGCATTTTCACCAAGACTAACACCATTAAATCAAATTGTGCAAATTATGTAAACTTTACATATCAGGTGCAAAACTAGGGATAGGATGTGGATGAAGGTTTTCTAATGCAGTTGTAAGCACAGCTGTCTGGTAAATAGAGAGCCATGTAACACTGGTGGAGAGAAGGGCAATGTGATGTCCCTGGTTCAGAGAAGGGAGGAGAGAGATTGAGAAGTTTCCTGTTTTCTAGCCATCTCAATTCTGATATTCTGAATGTCTAGCCTTCTTATTATTAATAATAGGTATCTAGGGGCACCTGGGTGGCTCAGTGGGTTAGCACCTGACCTTGCCTCAGGTCATGATCTTGTGGTCAGTAAGTTCGAGCCCCATGTCAGGCCCTGTGTTGAAAGCTCAGAGCCTGGTTTCTACATTGGGTTCTCTCTCTCTCTCTCTCTCTCTCAAAAATAAACATTAAAAAATTTGTTTAAAATAAATAAATGGTTAAAAAAAAGGTCTCTATATCATTAAGCCACTGAAACTCTAGCTTGTGAATATTCTAAAGTTCTAAACAGGTTATTTGAGTGAATTCAGTCTAGTTTGTATGAGCATTAATATTTTGGATTCGACTCATACCAGATTATATTCATCTTTAAGGCTAAAAGAACAATTTTCCCCAGGTCATATTTCAGATAAATACTGTGAAAAGGAAAATATGCCTTGTGTGGAATCTACTTAAGTCTAAATTTATTCCAGCATTTCCTTATTAGCTTTTTAATGTAAAAACTCCTGGTGTCATGGTTCCATGCACGATTTTAGTTGGTCATCATTTAAACAGTGTTTTAGAAGAAGTGTTTTTCTTAGTGGTTTGTCTGAGACTGGCAAGGGAGAAACTGGCATTTATGGAGCATGGGTGTTTTACATATTTAATCTCATTTAATTCAAATGAAAATTCCATGAGGCCATTATTATAGGCCTATGGTTCCTTATCCAAAACTCTTTGAGTCAGGGGATTTCAGAAAGGTCACATAGTGCATTGCCTCACACCCCCAGCAAAGCCTAGAACAACACTCTATAGTGAGCCACAGATAAATAAAATGAATTTGCTTGATATGGATGAGAAAATATTTATATACTGTTTTCAGAGTTTTCTGCATGTGTGAATTCTGGAGAACATACTGTGACCCGAATTGTCCCGATCTTACAGATGAAAAAACTGGCTTCGAAGAAGTAGATAGCTTGGCAGAGGTCACACAGGTAGCAAGTGGTGGAGGCAGGATCAAACCAGGTAGGAAAAGGCCACTATGCTGTGCTGCCTCACACGTTTGAGTGATGGCTAATGCCCCAGTAATACTGGAACTCACATGCTGAATTCCCCAAAGTAGGAGGCAGCAAACTAAGTTGCCTATTACAGTCATGGTGTTTATTAGTACCTAATGATCTGGATGTTCTCTTTATTTCTTTTTAAAGTGTTTTGGTGACTCACACAGATGCAGTAAAAATTTCAGATTTTGGTACATCTAAGGAACTCAGTGACAAAAGTACCAAGATGTCCTTTGCTGGCACAGTCGCGTGGATGGCACCAGAGGTGATACGCAATGAACCTGTCTCTGAAAAAGTTGATATATGGTGAGCAGCACCATGTGTCCCAACTAGAAAGCCTCTCCCACATCACCCTTTTAGTCCTTTACTCCTTCCACAATTCTACTTTCCCAAAATATTCGTTAGTGCTCCTCACTACTGGCTGATTTCAGTCTCCTCTTATCTGAGGTACTACCCAGTGTGATGATCAATGTGCTAAGAAGGACTGAGAGGGGAAATAGAATGAATATGTATTTAGTAAATCATCAGCTTTGGAGACCTTCACAGAATATAGTGAACTTTCTGGAAAATCAAAAATTTACTCCAGATAAGCATTTAGTATCGATGTCTTTCTGAAATATATAATTCTCAAGTTCTTAAATAAAGTACATTAAACAAAGTTTACCTAGTCTTGGTGACTCAGAGCATCATTATATATATCAGTGATGTACTTTGCTGTAATACAGTTTATGTGCTTTAGAGCTATTTGAATATTATATATAATAGAGCTCTTTGCCCTTTTATTAAACAGCCCATATGAGCCATGCTGCTTTTTTTTTTTTTCCTTTTAAAAATCTTTATCAGCTTTTCCTTTGAGGTTACAAATCTTTGCTATTAATAGTATATTTCCCTATAGTCACTTTTCTTCCATTCTTAAAATTGGCCACTAATAACTTTTAGCCTTAAAACCAAAATAATAGCATATATTAAAATTTCATGTAACACCAGAGTAAGATAAACTAGAAATGTGGGATCATTTGTAATTTGGGTAATTATTACCAATGTGTCCTCCTTAGGGATTATACCAATTAAGTTCCCAACAGAAATATATAAGTGTTTTCTCAGTCTCACTGCTAAAATGTGTTAAATTTTTAGATTTTTGCCAACCGTCTAGGTAACAAATGGTATCTTGGGTGCAGCTTTAATGTGCATTCCTCTTATAAGTTAGGTTGTTCATTTTTTCATATGTTCACAAACCATTTGTAATTCCTTATTTGTGAACTATTCAAATCCTTTGCTAAACTTTCTGATCTTTATTCTTATCAATTTATAAGAGTATTTTATATATTAAGGAGATTAGCCTTTTGTGTATAGGAATTACAGATACTTCTCACCTTTGCTATTTTGTTTATGGTGGAGTTCTTTCTCCATGCTAGATTTTTTTGAAAAAGCAATTTAACTGATCAGCCCCTGTGGCTTCTGGATTTCATAACTGGAAAGCCTTCACCACTCTAAGATTAGCAAAAAGAAAAAAAATTTCCCATGTGTTCTTTCAAGATGCTTGTGGCTTCATTTTTTCTTTTCACATTTGAATTTTTGATTCATTGGGAATTTATCTTGATGTAAGATGAACTACAGATTTAATTTTCCCCCCACTTGCCCCAGTAGCATTTATCGTATAGTCTGTTTTCCCTCACCAGTTTGAGATGTCACTGCCATCACATACTCAGTTCCATATGTATTTGGCCTATTCATGGACTCTGTTCCATGAGTCTGGCTGTCTATTCATGCACCAGAGTTAATTATGAAAGCCTTATAATATGGCTTAATATCTAGTAGCGTTGGTTACCCCTCAGTGAGTTTTGTTTTTAGAGTTTTCCTTGCTATTTCTTTCTTCTTATGGCAGTATTAGAATTTTGAAACTGGATATACATTTGATTAAGAATGATAGAGAACTAAAATACAAACCCATCTCTCTGCGCTGTCTTCGGTACCTGTTCCTGGTACTACTGTAGGTCTTTTGGAGTGGTGCTTTGGGAGCTGCTGACAGGAGAGATCCCTTACAAAGATGTGGACTCTTCCGCCATCATTTGGGGTGTTGGAAGCAATAGCCTACACCTTCCAGTTCCTTCCACTTGCCCTGATGGATTCAAAATCCTTATGAAACAGACATGGTAAGAAACATATTTCTCCCAATATTCTCTTTTTACCTTCTTCCTCAAAACCACAAAAATTTCTGTAAAACTTCAGAGAAGTCTCTAATATGGATCTGGAGCAAATCAACTGATTAAAGACTTATTTATAAATAACGAATTTGGCATATGCTGCTATAATAGGCCTTACTAAATGATAGCTATTAGTTCTTTACTAGTCCTAGGGGACTATTATTATAAACAGGTCACTGATCCTAGAGATTTCTATTTTATCTTTACAGGTTTCTCATAATTACATTTTCCTTTTGCTCCTCAGTGCATGAACATTGCCTGAGATATAGCCAGGCATGGAGCCAAAAATGTTTTTATAAAGCAGAATAAAATCTTTACTCTCCTGGACCCAACTTCCGCAGTGCACAAGCTGTCTTTTTTAACTTGTAGGCAGAGTAAACCTCGCAACCGACCTTCTTTCCGGCAGACGCTCATGCATTTAGACATTGCTTCTGCAGATGTTCTTGCCACCCCACAAGAAACCTACTTCAAGTCTCAGGTGAGTCTGGAACCTCTCTTCTGGCATACCAAACACAGAGCCAGGGAGCTCTCGATGAGAAAGAGTAACTCTTAGAACCATTCCGACTCTTATAACAATGATACAGCTGTAGTCTATGTGAAGGAATAATTATGATCTCTGACAAGGAGGAAATTTTGGAGCTTTTTATTTTTTTATTTTTTTAAAAATTTTTAAAAAATATTTTATTTATTTCTAGGTGAGAGAGCGCGACAGCGTGAGCAGGGAAGGGTCAGAGAGAGAGGGAGACACAGACTCTGAAACAGGCTCCAGGCCCTGAGCTGGCAGTCAGCACAGAGCCCGACGCGGGGCTCGAACCCACGAACCGTGAGATCATGACCTAAGTGAAAGTCGGACGCTTAACCGACTAAGCCACCCAGGCGCCCATTTTTGGAGCTTTTTAAGCACTTAAGATATATCATTATCTCATTTGAAGGGAACATGTATCAGAATGTCATCCTCATAGTGGTGGAAATGTTGAAGAGAAAAGAGGAATATATTTGAATTAGAATTACTGCTGATCTTCATGAAAAGAATCCTTCCTTTGAAGGAGAAAGCTACGGTACAGAGGAGGGAAGTGAAATACCAGGGAGAGAGCCCATGATAGAATCAGGCCCAGAGAGAACCTTTCCTCTAACTTGATGCGTCATCCATAAGCACCAGATAAAATGTAATTTAATGTATCTGTTAGCCTTTACTGTCTTACAGACCATTCCAGACTTATGGCTTAAAACAATAAGCTTTAGTTTAGCTTATGGTTCTGTGGGTTGGTAGTTTAGGTGGGCGGTTCTTGTGCTGGCCTCCACTGGGCTCACTCACATGTCTGCAGTCGGAGGCCGAGTCCCCTGTGGGGCTGGCAGTTTCTTGACAGCCTCATTCACAAGTGTGGCGATTGGCTGGCTGTCACCAAGAGTACCTTGGTTCTCTTCCATGTGGCCTCTTGTCTCTCGGCAGCCTAGCTTGGGCTCATTCACAAGCAGTTATGAGGGACACAGATGCAGTGAGACAGCAAGACCCAGGGAACAAGGGATTTTCAAGGCCTAGGCGTGCACCATGCGTGCTAATGTCTCTTTGGCTAAAACAAGTCACAGGCCAACCCAGAATGGGAAGTGGACTTCACCTCCTGGTGAGAGAATCTGCCCCAGCATGCTGTGAGGGCATGGGTGCAGAGGCGGAAGAACTTATGACTGATGAATATAATTGCTGTAATGTCAAAAGGATTCCATCTCTGCACTGAATTGCGGTATCATTTGAGTCATTCTCAGAGAAGATGTTTTATTAGCAACTGGTATCTCCTCACATCCACCCATCTCCAGTGGGTGATGAGCATACCTACCAGGAAAGTATGTGTTGAAAAGAGTACCGCACTGGGAGGGGCATCATCCCTGGGAATTTAACAAGCCCTTCAGCATGCTTCATGACCTGACCCACTTGGGGCTTGGAGTCCCTGCTTCTCAGGTGTCTGATAAACGCAGAGATACTCTGCCCATGAGACATTGGGGGATATCTTAATAAAAACACAGGGTGGGTTTTGTTGTTGTTGTTGTTGTTGTTGTTGTTTATCTTAGATGACCTAAGGACTGATAAATAAGAGACTTTGACCTTGTTGCCCCAAGTCCAACACACACTCTATGGTCCACAAACGTAGCTCTCCTCACAACTGTGTATTTAGATAATCAGGATTGCCCCCACAGATCATTAGCATTTCTGAGGAATTATTATGTAAGGAAAGTGTTTGATTTCAGAGAAAACACAAGGATGTAGGGGGGGTTGACTTCATCATATCATTTCCTATGTCGTTTGATGTGCATTCCGATAAACTCCTTTAGAACTATTATAATCTATGGTCTCTGTATTCAAATACATGTAAATATGGGGCACTGGGAAAGAAGTCTGTCCAATCTCTCTTTGTGTTAGTATTCAGAAAAAGACTTAGGCCCTTTTGTAAAATGAAATAGAGTAATAGTAAATACTTTCTAGGGAGTCTTTCAAGCTTTGGGATATAGTTGCAATCACAGCTTTGCTTCCTTTACCATAAAAGTGTACATACCACAATTTAGAAAAGCAGTTTTTGGTGAGAGTACTAACTCACAAGCAATTGAGACAGCATAACCGTATATACTTGGAAAACTTCAAATTCTAAACAGATTTTACCTGAATGCTCCCAGAACGTCACTTCTGAAGCCACCGTATGCAAAGTACTGTGTCATGCAATTAAGCACCCATATTCGGTATCTTCATTTATACAAACTCACTTTTATAGTAAAATTGAACTCAGAAAAGTTTCTTTGGGGGGCACCTTAGTGGCTCAGTCAGTTAAGGTCCAGCTCTTGCTTTCTGCTCAGGTCATGATCTCACAGTTTGTGAGCCATGGGTCTCCACTTTCCACCAAAACTGTCAGGAGCACCAGCAAAAGAGCCCAGCTGATTCCCTCCTGAGAGAAATTGCTTCAGCTGTTGCTCAGTCTCGCACACGTATAAAGATGCAGCGCGTACAGAACAGATGAACTAAGCAACTAATTTCAGTATAGTATTCGATTCTGCCAAAGCCACTGCCTCATTCCTAGACAATAACCCATTTCTCCAAGTAGGCAATTATTGCTCCTGGCATTCAACTGCATTTGATATCAGTCTTTAGAAAACATTTTAGCGGGGGTCCTGGATCCCCACTGCTAAGTAGGCCATGTGCCCTGCTTCTAAGCTCTGCTGCCATTCTCTGCCTTTGCACCATCCGGTTCCCTCTTGAGTACCACTGCGACCACTCAGAAATTCAGGGGCCTGGAGTTGCAGACTCACTAAGCTCATTATAGGGACAGACTGTGCTCCTCAAGAGTAATCTCATCACAGGGAGCCTGGCTGGCTCAGTTGGAACAGCATACAACTCTTGATCTTGGGATCATGAGTTCGAGCCCTTCATGGAATGTAGAGATTACTTAAATTTTTTAAACTAAAAAAAAAAAAGAGCGATCTCATCATGAGCAAGTAGGTACTTGAGCAGAGGCTGGGCACTTACCTGAGAAGGCAGTAAAGAGGACTCATGTACCAGTAAAGGGTTGACTTTGACCTCTAAATCTTTATTGACTCAGAATCTATAATTTCTGGCTACTTAATCACCTAACGTCCTGCTTCTCTCTTCTTTCAGCTATGCTGGAGCTGGCTCAAATTTTTTTCCTTTTTAAAAATTGTGGTAAAAAATATATAATACAAAATTTGCCATTTTAACCATTTTGAAGTATACAGTTCAGTGGCATTAATTAAATTCACAACATTGTGAAACTGTCACCATAGTTTCAAAACGTTTTCATTACCCCATTAAGCAATAACTTCCCATTCCCTCCCCCTCTCGTTCCTGATAATCTCTGTTATACTTTCTGTCTCTATGCATTTACCTATGCAATCTACTGATTGAATAACTGGAAGGCTGGAGATGATAAAAACCTTGTAAGTGTTATGACCTTTCCCAGGCCTTATGTGGGACATTAAAAGGATCCCATTGGGGCTCCTGGGTGGCTTCGTTGGTTAATTGTCCAACTTCAGCTCACGTCATGGTCTTGCGATTCATGAGTTCGAACCCCATATCAAGCTCTCTGCTGTCAGCAGAGCCTGCTTTGGATCTTGTCCCCCTCTCCCTGCCCTTCCCCTGCTTGTTTGTTCTCTCTCTCTCTCTCTCTCTCTCTCAAACATAAACATTTTTTAAAAGAGTAAAAAGATTTTTTAAAGGATCCCATTAATGGTAATTACCCAGGTTTCACTGGATTTTTCCCTTACCTGCTTATACAAGAATACCTTGTGATGCCCCTCCTATTCCCTCCCTTCACAGCGCCCCCATGCATTTTAGGGGAATCCCCAGTGAAGAGTGGGGATCTCAGTAACCTCATACATTGGAACATCTGCTCTGCTTTCCAGTGACTGCCCAGACACAGCAGGCTCCTGCCTAGCATCTGCTAGGTATTACTTTATTATGGCTTAGCACCATTTTCTACCACAAGACCACAGTCCCCAGCTGGCTTCCATTGGGTGCTGCCATATCTTTAAGGCACTGCCATCACCTACTGAATGCTGCCATTTCCTGCTGTAACTGAAGCTTGGAATTCTCAAGATTCCAAAGCTGCACATTGTTCTCCTTACACAATGTCCTCTTCCTTTTTCTGATGAGTTACACTTTGTTAAAGGTAACAGAGCAGTGCTGGTTATGGCCCAGTGTTTTACAGACATTTTAATGAAACAAGGGGAAATGCCCTCCACTCCTATGATGGTGGTTTTGTTATAGGTCAGGTTCATGCAGGATCCCTCCTGCTCCCATGCCATATGTTCTCTCCGAGGCACCTCAGTCTTTACGAATTGATTTCAGGCCTACCCACCTTTCATTTCTTCAGATATGCCCATGCATGTTAGCACTGCAGATTAAGTGCAAATTGGAATTCTTGTAATGTAAAGATTCAAAGCAATTAATTGTGGTAAAAGTCCAAAATTAAGATCTACCAGGAACACCATACCTGTGGGGGAAATATATGATTAATCAGTACCTGGTGTTTTCCCATACATCTTGTTCTTCTTCATAGGGAAGGGCATACTTCTTTTTGGAAATTTACTTTTTTAATAGGTTCCAATCTTCAAAAAGGTTTATTTCCTCAAGAATTGAAAAAAAAAAAAAATCTATTCTGTGACATCTGATTCCTGACCACCAGGGGGAGATGTTTCTTTTCCTGGTCCCTTCTTTAGGTCTTATACTAGGGCCTAGTGATGTATTTTTACACAAAAGGGGTTGCTTTAAGGCCCAGACCTGGCCAGCTCCCTTATGCTTTTTTGGTCTAATATCTCTTGATTGTCAATCTTAGGCTTCTTGTTTTTAAATTTTTTTAATGTTTATTTTTTAGAGAGAGAGAGAGACAGAGAGAGAGACACACACACACACACACAGAGTGCAAGCGGGGGAAGGTCAGAGAGAGAGAGAGGACACAGAATCTGAAGCAGGCTCCAGGCTCAGAACTATCAGCACAGAGCCCAATGTGAGGCTCAAAATCACAAACTGTGAGATCATGACCTGAGCCAAAGTCGGATGCTTAACTGACTGAGCCATGCAGGCGCCCCGATCTTAGGCTTCTTGAGGCTCAAATATTCTTCTTAACTCAGACTTTGATCTGATGATTAACAGAACAGCATTACTCTGGAGGCTTAACCAAACCTGCATTTATTGCTTAGATACTGTCAAAGACTGTTACCAAACAATGGGCAGTGCATTCTGGATCTGACTTTCTGATGACCTTGACTTTCTGATGATGTTGTTTGGCAGGTTTGGTGCCCAAAAGTCAGCTGACTGACAGAAATCTTTCTCCAATGGTCAGTCAACATATATATAGATATATGAAGACCTAGCATATTATAAATAGATAAGCAGGATGATCAGTTTTAAAATATGTACAATATGATATCCTCTAAAAAATAAATGAGAAATAGCAAATTTGGGGAGAAACCTTCTTTAATTTCGCAATTACTTAAGCATAATTTCTTCCATGATCTAAAGAAATAATTTTAAACATGAATCTAAAAGAAATAGAATAGCTCCAGAGGAAGAATATATAATAGAGGCATTTAGTTATACATCTAGCCTTTACTGGAAATTATCTTCGTCTCATTAGGTTCTTGGGGATTGTAGTTTATATGTAATTTGAGGAAACATCTCCTTTAGCTGTTTTCTAGAAATTGCTTGTAGACTATATTGCAGCAGAGGTTTTTCTACTCCCTAAAATTTAGATAAAATGGGCCTGGAATTGCATGCTCTGTGGAAATTCCTGTTTCTAACACTTCTGTGAATTCCTGAGAAATTTATAATTTCATGGTCCCTCTGGCTCTGCCTTCCTAAAATTTTTGGGCCCCATCCCTGCCATCATGTGCTTGCTCCTCTATCTTTATCCTGTCATTGACGCAAATGTGAAGTTCAGCACCTTTCCTTGATGTCCAGAATAACAAAAACACTCATCCAAAGTCAAGATGAATGTCAGAGACTTTACTCAAGGTTTAGGAAATTGGAAAGGGATCACATTTTGACAAACTGAAATCACATGTTAGATATTTATCCCCGTTCTAAAAATTTTGTCAAACTATTAAATAGTTTAGCCATACATACTCTTTCTCCTCCTCTTTCCCCTTTTCTATTCTTTCCCTCCCAAATTCCTGTATGATTTCCTATATTTTTATTCCTAACTCCTGCTCTTCATTTCCCTTGAGTCTTCTATTACCAATATTTTTTGAAGGTATTTTCATAAACAAAACCTAAGAGGAATTCTGGAACCAATTGTAAACATGATCATATTCTCACTGGCATATACTTATACAGATGGTTATCAGAGCCTTTCTTTCTGTCCAGGTCAGCTCAGCCACCATCTTCACATAAACCTGAACTCTCTTATCCCAGGGGTGATGGCTCTATGCCAGCTGTGATATGTCAGGTGGCCAGTATGACAAGGAAACTGGAAAAAGAGACAGCATCACAAGTTGGACTAAATACAGAAAATAAGGTCACAGTGTATGGGGTAGGAGGTGCAGATAGAGGAATATGAGATATTTTGCTGTAATCAACTAGTATTTATTGAACATTTATTTGTTAAGGCTCTTCAGTAAAAGCATGCGGGGGAAGAAATCTTGGACAGGATCCTATGGTTCCATCAGGGATTAAAACTTCTAGAATATTAACAAAGTCTAATTTGTCCTCACCCAGGCTGAATGGAGAGAAGAGGTGAAAAAACACTTTGAGAAGATCAAAAGTGAGGGAACCTGTATACACCGATTAGATGAAGAACTGATTCGGAGGCGCAGAGAAGAGCTCAGGTCTGTTGTTCTCTCCTTTCCCATCTCTTCTCATCCCCAGATCTTCAGATTCTGGCAGGAACTCTCCTTGTGTTGAAGAGTTCCTGATGAAACTCCATTTCACCTTGTACACACTGTTCACCTGTGCTGTTAATTCTCTTTAAAAGTTGCCCTAAAAGGTAGCCATCCTTTATGTTGCTGTTCCGTCTTCTCCCTGCAATCTTGTTATCTTCCTTTATTATATCTCTGCAGCAAACACTCCTAGAGCAATGCCCTTTCTTCATTCAGTGCCTGTCCTAAGTGACGTGGAAGGCAGTACTTTATAAGACGTAGTTCCTGGTCTCAAGGTGCTTATGATCAATGAAGGGGTACAAGACATAGTCATAGATAGCCACTCTATTAGACAAGATCTGTACTACAGATAAGTACAAGGTCAAGGAATCAGCCTTGATTGCGTATTCCCAATAACGTATATATTATATATATTATAGTATTCTTATTAAGATATCAACACTGCACAAAGGCTACAAATTATATACAAATCACATTCAGATTTTATCTGTGGCCCTCCTGCCTGTTCTATATGGCTGGGTGTGGCCCCTAAGGGTAAACCAAGTGAAAGCTTGGATTTCCCATCTCCCACTCCAACTTATCAGAGTCATTACATCAAAAAGGGGATCCTTAAGTTTAGATGGCCCACAGACCAGTGCTTTTTTTTTTTTTTTAACATTTGTTTATTTTTGAGAGAGAGACAGAGAACAAGCTGGGAAAAGGCAGAGACAGAGGAAGATACAGAATCTGAAGTAGGCCCCAGGGTCTGAGCTGTCGGCACAGAACCTGACACGGGGTTCGAACCTGTGCATTGCAAGATCATGACTGAGCCGAAGTTGGACACCTAACCAACTGAGCCACTCAGGCGCCCCAGACCAATGCTTTTGTGATAAACCATCCTGGTTTTTATTTCATTAGTGCCATTCTTTGTTCTCCCCCAAGGTAGTCAGCTTTGCTGATCCTGTATTTTCTTTGATAGGCATGCTTTGGATATTCGTGAACACTATGAGAGAAAACTTGAGCGGGCTAATAATTTATACATGGAATTGAGTGCCATCATGCTGCAGCTGGAAATGCGGGAGAAGGAGCTCATTAAGTATGTATCCAGACTGCTGTCTGTCCTTACTGAGTTGGGTCATCCTATCAGCAGTAATGTACTGCTCCTCCACGTTGCTACTACTCAAGACTAAAAATAGCAAATACTTTATTCATTTACCCAACATTCCCTAAGGGATGTGCTGTGCACAGGTCTCTACTCCCGAGGCACTTTCAGCTGGGTGGAGTTGCTGTAGAGCTCGTTATAGAGAAATATGCACTTGATAGGCATTTGCAACTTCACCCTGTTGAATGGCCCTAAGAAAGGGTCCTCTTTTCAAGAAAATCTTGATGTGGAGTGGGAGCTGTTTGCCCCCCGGGGAAGTAAGGTGGCTGATGAAAGTGGATTAAGGTACTCTATTTTTTTTTTATTAAAATTAAAGTTATTATTTAATTTGATAAGGACAAGAAAACCTGGTGGTCCTGACCAAAACAGCAACTGAAAATAAGTAGGTCTTCTACCATCGCATTGTGTCTCCCGTGGGGTATGTTGAGGGAGGCAAGGTCAGCCCCTGAGTCCACCTGAGAGTAGAAGTGCACAGTGAAATTACATTAGTTGAATTTCGTATCTTTTTTCCCCTTTGCAACCTAAATAGTAACCTTGTAATTCAAATGACGTATATCTGTTAAGTGTGACCAGCATCTGTGAGTGGAATTAGCCTGTGAAAACATTCTGCCCATCTGTCTGCAGTGACTGAGATGTGGCTTTTCCTTTCATTCTGCAGGCGTGAGCAAGCAGTGGAAAAGAAGTATCCTGGAACATACAAACGACACCCTGTCCGTCCAATAATCCACCCCAACGCCATGGAGAAACTCATGAAGAGGAAAGGTGCGCCTCATAAATCAGGGATGCAGACCAAACGGTGAGACACCTATGCCAGCTTGGTATTAAGAGAAATGAGAAAAAATTCCCCTAAGAATATATGATCACATCGTGGTTGGTGTGTCCACTCCGTAGCTCATCATTGGCACACTTGCCTTTAGATAAAATAAGGTGGTGAGGTAAGAGAATGTGTCATGAACTTTAGGAATCTAGTTTTTTCTGTCTGAGGACATAGATATTAATTGTCTTTGGATGGAGTAGTGAAAAGAGAAAGCACTGGGAGCCAGACAGACCGGGATTCAAATCCCAGTTCTACCTATGCTAAACTACATGATGTGGGTCATGCCACTTGATCTCTGTCAACCCCATCAGTAAAATGGTATAATGATCACACATGAGATTTCTTCGTCTTTTTTTGACCTGTAGCACACAAAATTGGGTTCATCATAATTTTTATTTTATGCAACAGTGGTCCATGTATGTCCCACTTTTATTTATTCATTTAGTTCTTTTTAATAATGTAATAAGTGCCTATAAATCTACCACCAAAAACTAAAGGAGGGGCTTTGGTAGTTACCTATACCTAATCGTGTGGGTCCCCTCATTCTACTCCTGCATGGGATTTCTGTGAAGTTTAAAGAGATAAATGTGAGGGGCACCTGTGTAATTCAGTCAGTTAAGTATCCGACTTCGGCTCAGGTCATGATCTTGTGGTCTGTGAGCTCGAGCTCCGTGTCAGGCTCTGTGCTGACAGCTCAGAGCCTGGAGCCTGCTTCGGATTTTGTCTCCCTCTCTCTCTGCCCCTCCCCCACTCACACTCTGTATCTTAAAATTGAATAAATGTTAAAAAAAATTGTAAGATAAAATTACAAACCACGACTGCTAAAAAATTAGTTTTTGAATAATTTTTTTAAAAAAAGTTGCCCTTTCCACTAATTACAACACAGTCAGTTTTTTTTATTATCAGGCTCTACTAGATCTCCATTCTTCCCAAATAACGGAGAGTGGACTGCGTTCCAGCCACATTAATGTAGAGGAAAGAAATGTCCCTAAACCTGAGGTGTAGACCCAATGGTGAGACTTGAGAACAATGCAATAAGGATAAAAGTAAGGATAAAATGCAAACCAAGAATGTATTGAAAGGCTTTCAGAATGGTGGCCATTCTACCATAGCAGGACTAATAGAAATCTAAACTACTAAGCAGCAGCTACATGGATTAATTCCAATTTTGCTTTTACTTACCACCCCTGACCAGCTTCTAGTCAAATACTGAGAAATTGTTTGCACATGGCACCTGGCAAAACCCTCTGAGGATCCCAACACCTCTTTGTTTTGCCATGTTAGCCAGTGACAGAGTTCACTTTCTGGCTCTTCCCTGAATTCTGCTACAGATAAAACTAAGAGCTTTGGAAGAGAAAATAGTACTTTTTAATTTTTCAAAATATGAGCTCATGTTTACTTTTAACTTTGGCTATGAGGAATATATTTGGAAGAGTTTGCCACCACCAGCAGATGCTCAGTCGACAAGCTAACTGAACTCATCCAGGAAGGCAACCTGGAATGGCTCTTTGAGCTGCGAAGAGTTCTGCTTTCAGTTGATTGCACCTGGAGGATTTCAGTTTCAGATTATTTGGACAGTCCAATGATTAAGTCAGAAGCCCAGTGTCCTCTGAGGAGATCAGAGAGGAAAAACCATCCACCATCTATGGTGTGTCAATGTGGGTTCAGTTGGGGACTAAAAAGAAGAGAATTGGAGTTCTAATATGGATCCACTAAGCCTGTCACAAGTGAGTATAATCCAGTACAATAGCCTAAATACCTCATAATAAAGAGAAGCTTGGAAAGGGGAAAGAGCTGTTCCTTAGTGTCAAAACACTGGGGTCTGAGTTATGACTTCTGTCATTAACTTTGTGATGAACACAAGCCAACTAACCTCTAGAATCCCTCAGTGCCATTATCTATAAAATGAATATTGGAAAATGAATAGTAGGAAACAAGTGTTTTATACATTATAAAGCGCTTTGTAAATGTATCATTGTTACTCTGTGATGTTTACACTGCTAGGTTCAATAAAAGCAGACTTCACCTGATTTAGGATACTTCTACCTCAGCTCTCTTTTAGATCTTGGCCTGGCCAGTCACTGTGTAAGTAGATGCCCGTAACTGGGCTTTGGATGGCTCTCTTGCCTCAGTATAAGCCCCAGTACCTCCTCAATTCACATACTTCCTCTGGCACAATTTGGCCAGCTGACCACCAAACCATGAATCTGAGGCAAGAAGACGCTGATATCACACAGTATCCTGCCCACCTTATATACCAGTGGTATCTGGAACTTCTGTGCTAAGACGAGCCTTGAACAATAGCCCTGAAGTAGTAGGAGTCTCTCCTACAGTCTGATGCCTACTAATTTCCTGTGAGCCCTAGCTATTCAAATGTGGTCCTCAGTTCAGCATCACCTGTGAGTGTGTAGCTCTTGGGGCACCTGGGTGGCTCAGTTGGTTGAGCATCCAACTCCTGATTTTAGCTCAGGTCATGATCTCACAGTTCATGGGATTGAGCCCCGTGTCATGCTCTGTACTGTCAGCGCTATCAACGCAGAGTCTGCTTGGGTTCTCTCTTTCCACTCTCTCCACCCTCCCCTGCTCATGTGCTCTCAGTATTAGAAATGCGGACTCTAAAGGCCTCAGATCTGACCTACTCAACCATTTTAATAAGCCCCAAGTGATTTGTAGGCACCTTTAAGCTTGTCCTCTGAATCTCCAATAAGCCAGACTGGAAATTAGGAGAAACTTTTGTTAGGATTCTGCCAGTAATGCCCTATAAGACCATGAGACACTCTGGGTTTTGGATTCCTCCTCACATAAGGTGGAGGCAGGACTGTATCTGTGGTTTTCAAACAAGGTCTGGGACACCCTAGGGCCCACATAGAGGTGTCAGGGATTACTGCGGAAGTAGGGAGGACGAGGAGGGGAGCCCTGCAAGGAGGAGCTTCTGCTCTCCCACCCCTCTTCAACTATTCCACTATATCTGGGGGAGGGGCAGGTTGAGATATAATTGACTTACAACATTATATTAGTTTCAGGTGTACAATGTAGCAATTCAATATACATGTATATATTTTGAAATAATTATCACGTAAGTCTAGTTAACATCCATTCATCAGCATAAATAATTACATTTTTTTCTTGTGGTAATAACTTTCAAGATCTCTTAGCGACTTTCAAATATGCAGTATGGTACAGCTGACCATTGAACAACATGGGTTTGAACTACACAGTTGCACTTATATGTGAATATTTTGCAGCATAGTCCAGTACATGTATTTTCTCTTCCTTATGATTTTCTTAACATTTTCTTTTCTCTAGCTCACTTTATGTATTATATGTATATAATACATATAATATACAACATATGTATTAATCCACTGTTTATGTTATCAGTAAGACATCTGGTCAACAGCAGGCTATTATTAAGTTTTCAGGAGTCAAAAGTTATACTTGGATTTTTAACTGTGTGTGTTATTGAAGGATCAACTGTATCATTAACTATAGTCTCTCTCCATGCTGTACATTACATCCACAGGACTTATATATTTTATAACTGGAAGTTTGTACCTTTTGGACCCTCTTTACCCATTTCACCCATCTTCTCCCACCCCCCACCTCTAGCCACCTGTCTGTTCTCTTACTATATCTATTTTATATACGGAGTTCCTCATAATTCATTTATAAAAAGATTCTGTTGCTTAAAGTTTGGGTCTTCCAGCTCTGTAATTTGCTGATTCGTGTCTGTCTGGTCCCAAAGAAGGAAGGAAGTAGTGGACCGGCCTGGTATCCTCGAGTTTCTGCCCGTACCAGTTCATCAGTTCAGAAACCAGCTATTGTTTACCTGTGCAACTGGAATCCGTGTGTGTGAGGTTTACCGTCAAGCTCTGGATTCCTCTTGCACATGACCTATATGACCAGCCCGACAGCACTTGAAAACAGGACTGTGAGAGGACCTCCTCCCGTAAGGAGCCAGGTCACCTGGCAGTGACAAGGCCAGGTCACTCCTCCCCGGAGCTTCTCTTGCTGGCTTTGCTCAACCTCCTGGGCACCATACTATTTCCCCTTCCCTCTTCCACCCCTTTCTTCTCAGCCTTCCTTAAACATTTTTGAGTACTGAGTGTGAGCAGGGCTCCCTTAATGTCCCTCCCATACAGAGATGGATGGACTTAGTCCCAGACCTCAAGGAGACCATGTCTAAACCAAGATCCTTGAACTTGGCCTCCTGCCTAATTAACCTGAGGTTTCCTTCTCTTGTACCAGACCCCTGTGATTTGTGATCTTTTGTGGGATCTCTCTAGATCCATCATCAGATAGATTTCTCATCATGGGCAAATCCATGCGTATGCCTTGGCATATTGGCACCAGGCTGATAGATGAGATTATGAGGAAAAGATTAAGAAACCTACAGGGTAGAATTAGAATTTAAAGGGGATTGAGTACCTCAGCTAGTGAGACGCAGAATAAAATCCAAAAGGAATAAAGGAAATCCTCTATGGTTGAACTTCTAGGTTGTTTCTAATTTTCTGTTGTTTTAAACTAGAATATAACATAACACCTTCAAACATACATCTTCATGCACATCTGTTATCTCCATTGGATAAATCCCTGCCTATGTGACTGCTGTTTCACAGAGTGTGTATATTTTAAGGCTTGGGTTACATTTCCCTAACTTGAATGTGTTTTTTCATACGTTTAAAACTAAATCTTTTCTTTTCTCCCAGGCCAGATCTATTGAGATCTGAAGGTATCCCCAGTATGGAGGTAGCTCCCGCCGCATCCCCTTTGTCTGGAAGTCCCAAAATGTCCACCTCAAGCAGCAAGAGCCGATATCGGAGCAAACCACGCCACCGCCGAGGGAACAGCAGAGGCAGCCATAGTGACTTTGCAGCGATCTTGAAAAATCAGCCAGCACAAGAAAACTCACCGCATCCCACTTACCTACACCAAGCTCAGTCCCAGTACCCTGCTTCCCATCACCATAATCCTATGCAGCAGCAATACCAGCAATGCCCTCCTGCCATGGCTCAGAGTCACCATCCCAGACTCAACATGCACGGACAGGACATTGCAACCTGCGCCAACAACCTGAGGTATTTTGGCCCAGCAGCCGCCCTGCGGAGCCCACTCAGCAACCATGCTCAAAGACAGATGCCTGGCTCTAGCCCTGACCTCATCTCCACAGCCATGGCCGCAGATTGCTGGAGAAGCGCTGAGCCTGACGAGGGCCCAGCTGGCCCCTGGGGCTGTTGTCAGGCTGACCCTTATGACCCCTGCCTCCAGTGCAGGCCAGAACAGTGTGGTTCCTTAGACCTACCCTCTGCTGAGCCAGTGGGGAGGAGCCCCGACCTTTTCAAGTCACCAGCACACAATCCCCTCTCGGAAAATCCCCAGGGTTCTGAGAAAATGGACGAAAACAAATTCAAAGGCTGTAGGTCTGCATCATCCCTTGGCATCCCTCATCACGTCACCCCCCCAATGCTACCTCGAAACACAAGGCCCTTGCAAAAGGTAAGCCGTAATGACAGCAGCATGTGCCACTGCCTTCACGGACTGTTGTGCACATTGGAACACGCATGTAACGTGTCCGTTTTGGAAAAGGATGAGATGGCAAAAGCATAAGTGGAAGTTCTTTTTTTACTTTAAATACTCTATCACACTGCTTAAGTGATAGAGAACACTCTTAGGGAACTACTGACCTGAGAGGACTGGTTCAAATATATATAAGTTATAAATAGATAACCAGGGATATGTAATCAAAACTAGGAGGCTAGTCATGATGGATGTTGCAAGAAGATTGGATGTTGCTTCTCTCTCTCTCTCCCTCTTCTCTCTCCCTCTCTCCCCCTCATGGGATTCTTTATCTTCCTTCTCTCTCTCTCTGCCCCTCGCTCACTTGTGCCCTCTCTCTCAGGAAAAAAAAAAAAAAGTACAGTACCTTGTTTAATCCAGCACTTCCCTCACCTATTTGGCCATAATGGCTTTAAAAATAATATCTATTAATATCCCATGGAACTAGCCTTCTTCATAATTTCTTCTTCATATTTTGGAGGGGTGCCCGCTTAGCTCAGTTGGTAGAACATGTGACTCTTTAACTTAGGGTCATGAGTTCAAGTCCCATGTTGGGTGCAGAGCCTGCTTAAGAAAAAATAATATACAATATTATAGATTTCCAAAATATATTGTTTTTCTTAATATTGTATTTTTTTTTTTATATATTATTTTATACAATATTAAGAAAAACAATATATTTTGGAAATCTATAATATTGTATATATACAAAAAATACAATATTAAGAAAAACAATTTATTTTGGAAATCCCTGCCTATATTAATAACCATCATGACCCAGTGAGTTCTTAGTCACTGAAACCTGTTCTCCTCAGCCACTAGCTGTCTAGGGTTTATTAGCTTGGAGGCAATCTACCATAGTGGTTAACAGCATAAGCCTGGGAGCCAGACAGATCTGAGTTCAAAGCAAGGCTCTTACATTTAGAATCTCTATGAACATGGCTGCCCTTGTCTATAAATGGGGCAAATACTGGCCCCTGCCTCACTGGCTGGTATGAAGATTAAATGGGTTAATACATATAAAGCATTTCGAACAGAGCCTGGCACGTAACAAGCTTCCAAACATATTAGCTCATCTTGCTAATGAGTTAAAAATAACATTATGTATGAAAAGTGTTTAGCGCAAGGCAGACACCCACTCAGTCTTCAGTAGTGCTTCACCTCAGCAGCACTTAGCAGGAGCACAGGTAAAGGAATGAAAGGGTCTAAAATGTAAATGAGATTGTTTTGGTCCACTAGACATTTAAAAGAAGTTCACATATCAGTCAGAATGGCTAGAATCAGGGGCACCTGGGTGGCTCAGTTGGTTAAGCATCCAACTTCAGCTCAGGTCATGATCTCATAGTTTGTGAGTTCGAGCCCTGCATTGGGCTCTGTGCTGACAGTGTGGAGCCTGGAGCCTGCTTCATATTCTGTGTCCCCCTCTTTCTCTGCCTCTCCCCTGCTCACACTCTGTCTCTCTGTTTCTGTCTCTCTCTCAAAAATAAACAAACATTAAAAAAAAAAAAAAGAATGACTAGAATCAAAAAGACAAGAAATAACAAGTTGGAGAGGATGTGGGGAAAAGGGAACTCATGTGCACTATTGGTGTGAATGTCAACTGGTGCAGCCACTATGGAAAACAGTATGGAGGTTCCTCAAAATATGAAAAGTAGAACTACCATATGACCTCTAGTACCTTCACTACTGGGTATTTACCCAAAGAAAACAAAAGCACTAATTAGAAAAAATATGTGCACCCTTGTGTTTATTGCAGTATTGTTTATAATGGCCAAGATATGGAAACAACCTAAGTGTCCATCAATGGATGAATGGATAAAGAAGATGTCATGTGTGTATGCATTTATACACTCACACACACACACATACACACATACATACATTCATACATACATACACTGGGATACACTCAACCATAAAAAAAGAAGGAAATTTTGCCATTTGTGAAAACATGGATAGACCTAAAAGGTATTATGCTAAGCGAGATAAGTCAGACATAAATGACAAATACCATGGAATCTAAAAAACAAAACAAATGAACAAACAAAAAAACCAAATAGATTCATAAGTGTGGAGAATAAACTAGTGGTTGCCAAACGAGTGGGGTAGTGGGAAGGGGTGAAATAGGTAGAGGGGGTTAAGAGGTTCAGACTTCCAGGGGCACCTGGGTGGCTCAGTCGGTTAAGCGTCCTACTTCAGCTCAGGTCATGATCTCGTGGTTCATGGGTCCGAGCCTCAAGTCGGGCTCTATGCTGACAGCTCAGAGCCTGGAGCCTGTTTCAGATTCTGTATCTCCTTCTCTCTCTGAACCTCCCCTACTCACACTGTGTCTGTCTGTCTGTCTCTCTCTCTCTCTCTCTCTCTCTCTCTCTCAGAAATAAATAAAACATTAAAAAAATATTTTAAAAAAAGAGGTTCAGACTTCCAGTTATAAATAAATAGGTCACAAGGGGTGAAGAGTAAAGCATAGGGAATATAGTCAATAATACTGTAATAACTTTGTAAGATGACAGATGATAACTATACTTGTTTTGTCAAGCATAGCAAAATGTATACAATTGTTGAATCACTGTGTTACACACCTGTAACTCATATAATATTAGAAACCAACTGCACTTCAATTGAAAAAAAAAGAAGTTGAAGCTGAGGGCTTCTATCTCAAAACTGTATTTCTTCCCCACATGCAGTGCTTGCTGCTGACTAAGCATTCCCAGAGATTAAGTTGTGTTCTGGGTGCTCTGCCCCCCCATTCCCTATGTGGCCAGTAACATGTATTGTTTTCAGTAACAACTTTATTGTGATATAATTCTCATACTGTAAAGCTCTCCTGTTAAGTGTACAACTCAGTGCTTTTATTCACAGCTATGCAGTCATCACCACAATCAATTTTAGAATGTTTTCATCAACCCGCAAACAAACCCGGCACCGTTTAGCAGTCACCCTAGTGCCCTCCCAGGTAACATGTATCTTTGAGCCATTCTGATACCATTATGATGCATTCTGTGGGCCCAGGGGCCAGGAAACACCCACCCTATCCATTGCGCCTCCCTGGAACTTCTCTCGACCCAGGATACACTTCCATGGTACACCTAGGGTAAATGCTCATCTCAGCAGTCAGTATAACCCCATGCCTCTCTTTCCTACTCAAATAAGCATTTCGGAATACAAACCAGTAAGAGTGATAGTATATTAAAACTGACTTTAAAAGTAAACTATCCTCAATCTTTGGTACAATTACTTGGGCTCAGTTACCCACCTCACAAGGGATGATAGTAATCCAGTACATTATGATTCTGTGGGTAAGGAGAGCTGATTTTAAGTGTGGCTGTTCTTATGTCCGCGAAGAGAAATGGACTCTTCCTGTGAAGGAAGATCATATTCTCAGGACACTTACCCAGACTTGCAGATCAACCACAGAGCCCTAGCAGTCATGAGGCCTCACATGTCCCAACCAAAGCTCTCTCATCCTGTCCAACATGCTGGCTCAATAATGCACTAAGCACCTATTTTGTATGCAGTGTTGTATTCGTGGTGGAATGAGAAATACGATACAAGATATGGCCTGACCCTCAAATAATGTATGCCTTAGTAGTGCAAATGATATAAGCATAGTAACTGTATTACTGAAAAGGTGATTGGTTACATAAAAGGGGAAAAGTAGTTGTTGGATTTTGAAGAACTGGAAGATCACTTCTTGGTGGAGTCCCTGTGTCAGGGCCTGGAACCATGAATAACAATAATTACAAAAGGCTGCCCCCAAATCCAGACCTTCTCTCTAGTTTCCCCTTCTTATCATTCTTCTTGGACAGTCTCGTGGAGTCCTCACCTACCTGAGGGCAAGGCTCACATTTACTCAGTTCTGTGTGTCTTCTGTCAAAGAGCACAGACCCAGTCGTCATGGACACCGAGGAAAAGTTGTTGAATGAATGAAGGAAAATATATATGTTTAAAGATGACACTCAGCAAACTACTATTCAATGCCTTTTTATTATAATTAATCTTTTATATGGAGTGTGTGTGTGTGTATGAGAGGGAGAGAAAGAGAGAGAGAGATTGAGATAAAACTCTCCCCTTGTTCTCCTCAGAGTGGAGATGACTCCTCAGAAGAAGAAGAAGGGGAAGTAGATAGTGAAGTTGAATTTCCACGAAGACAGAGGTAAAACCAATACACACACGTGACTGCTTTCAGTGTAACGGGAGAAATCCTGGGTTTGCCATACCTCCTGTTCAGTCACAGATCCCCTTCAAACAACCACCTTCTAGGGAGATTTGAACTCACCATTCCTCTTTCCCCACTGCCACATTTTGGCGGCTGGCTCTGCACAGCAGATTAGTTCATCAGAATTCATTGGTTAGGAACTTTAAGATGAGGAACATAAATATGGATTCAAGGTTGCATTTGACAATGTAGCAGGCATTTTATGAGAGATGGCCATGCTGTTTTGTGGATAATATCATTGGTTTCTGGTGTACCTCCTTTTATTAGTCTCTTAGGCTGCTATAACAAAATACCACAGGCTGGGTGGTTTAAACAATAGGAATTTATCTTTCACAGTTCTGGAGGCTGGGAAGTCCCAAATCAAGGTTCCTGGTGAGGACTCTCTTCGTAGCTTGCGGACAGTAGCCTTCTTTCTACAGGAAAATATCTTCCTCTAATAAGGTCACAGTCCCGTGGGATTTTGGACCTGCCCTTATGATCTCATTTAACCTTAATTAATTATCTCCTAAGAGCCTGTCTCCAGATTCAGCCACACTGGGGTAGGGCTTCAACATACGAATTGGGGTGGAGGGGGGGACACAATTCAGTCCAGAAGGTGGGGGGTGGGGGAACACAATTCAGTCTGTAGCACTCTCCATGTCTTGGATTTTATGCCCCACTGAAGTATAATTAATTAGGTTGAGTCCTCCTTCAACCTAGCCTTAAAAATAGCTTCCTGCTTAGCCAGAAATAGTAATTTGTAAATTAAAGAAGTACTACGTCCCCCTACTTCTAAAAAAGAGCTGCCCTTATATAGGAGCGTGGAAGGTAGTTTTCCTCCACGAAAGCCTTTTCTGCTAGTAGGCATTCTGCTCTTGAAGAGTATGGCTCTAAGAATCCGCCAGAAAGGCTTATGTACCTGCCCAGAAATAGGAATTCTCTGCAAACCAAGGGATTCCTTTGGTAAATTGTATTCTGGGTCCCCACACTGTGCAAAGAACTGAAATCTGTTCTCATCCCCTGAGCTATTCCTGCCACATTGCCACTGCTGCCTTATTGTCTCTTGGTTTCTCCTATGCAGTGAAATTGAATCTGAGTAAAATGTCTTTTCGTTCCCTGAACTCACTCTACTGACATCACAATTACATGACTTCAGCTTTGTTCCCCTGACACACCATCCACTCAGCCCACCTAATTGCTTCCCGCCTTTCTTGTTGGTCATGATGCAAATATATGTTTTTACTGCATGGTTTTCCTTTCTATATTATAACATTTTTCTCCCTATCTCTTTTCTGGATTCCCAGGCTTGAGATGTCTTATAAGTCCTACTTTAATTTCCTTTTCCCACAGGCTATTTTCAGGTGTCCTTGATTCCCGCAACCCTGTAGCCTATCACCTGACCTTGTCACTGGGGAGGCTCAGATTATATGCCATCAAAATCACTTTGTACTAAGAAATACAGAAAGATCTGAAAATGACAGAGGAAAAAGTCAGTCTTCTTTTTATTTGTTGTCTTTTGAAACCACTGTGAACTAACAGCATTCTTATTTACTATGCTACTTAGAAACAATGGGGAAAAACTGAAGAACTTATGCAAATTCTCCCTCTGCCCCCCCCCCCCCCACCCCTGCAGATTTTGCCTCATCTGAGCTAAACCCACACGTTAACTGGAATGAGCCATTAACTGACTAGGCAGTACCCATAGCTGCAGAGTGAATGTTCCTTCCAAGCTCATCTCCAGTGGGGGTTGGCTGACAGGGTGGAGATACTTGGCCTTCCGTGGCTGCCATGCCCAGTGGGAAACGCAGCTGGTAGAGAATGACACTGAGCAGGGTATGAGTAGACCCAGACCAAGCTGCAGCTCTGCCTTCTCTGATGGTGTGGCCTGGAATAAATCACTTTCTTTTTTTTTTTAATGTTTTTTTAAATTTATTTCTGAGAGAGAGAGAGACAGCATGAGCCGGGGAGGGTCAGTGAGAGAGGGAGATACAGAATCTGAAGCAGGCTCCAGGCTCTGAGCTAGCTGTCAGCACAGAGCCTGACACAGGGCCTGAACCCACCAACCGTGAGATCATGACCTGAGCTGAAGTCGGACGCTTAACCGACGGAGCCACCCAGGCGCCCCAGCAAGTCACTTTCTTTGTCTGGCTCCAGTTTTATGGCCTGAGAAATGAGTTAGACCAAAGAATCTCTCAAGACTCTTTTACCTGTAAAGAATCTGGGAGGTCTGGGGCACCTGGGTGGCTCCATTGGTTAAGCGTCCGACTTCGGCTCAGGTCATGATCTCACAGTTCATGGGTTCGAGCCCTGTGTCGGGCTCTATGCTGACGGCTAGCTCAGAGCCTGGAGCCTGTTTCGGATTCTGTGTCTCCCCCTCTCTCTTACCCTCCTCTGCTCATGCTGTCTCTCTATCTCCTTCTCAGAAATAAATAAAATATTAAAAAAATTTTTTTTAAAGAATCTGGGAGGTCTGTGCATAAGAAGCTGAATTTCAGTTTGAACATTTCCATACCATGCATGTGTGTTCACACTGTGATCAGAGCAGCTGAGTTTCTCAAAGACCAGCAGTTGCCATCAGCTTCAAAGTGTACTGTTTAGCCACATAAACATACGAACCAAATGAACAAGGAAATTCAAATTTCCTTCTCTTTCACTTTAAAACTAAATAGTGTCTATGCCTAGATTTTTGAATCTCCCTCAGGGGCAGGAAGAAACCTAGAAAACCTCTCACCAAGGCTGTGGGCTAAGAACAGTAGTTATTCCTGCGATTAAGTTCCTTTGGTTCTTTGTGGTTCTAGGCCCCATCGCTGTATCAGCAGCTGCCAGTCGTACTCAACCTTTAGCTCTGAGAATTTCTCTGTGTCTGATGGAGAGGAGGGAAATACCAGCGACCACTCCAACAGTCCTGATGAGTTAGCGGATAAACTGGAAGACCGCCTGGCGGAGAAGCTAGATGACCTGCTGTCCCAGACGCCAGAGATCCCCATTGAGATATCCTCGCATTCAGATGGGCTCTCTGACAAGGAGTGCGCTGTGCGCCGCGTGAAGACGCAAATGTCTCTGGGCAAGCTGTGTGCGGAGGAACGTGGCTATGAGGTGGGGCTTCTCCTCCCTTCTCCTCTGATCACTGTAGCTCTTTAGGTTTAGAGCTCTAAAGTAATTTAGTGTATAAGGTAAAACAACTGCCTCCTGGAAGTAAGCAGAACTACAGAGATCAACAGAGCTCCCTGGAATAAGGGCAGTTGTCCTAAATGAGGCACAAACATGGACCTGCTCAGGCATCTTTCGTTCTACGATTTAACGCAAACATCTCCTCCTCCTGACCCCATCTCCCTTGTGGTTAAGGGTACGAGCCTCCCCCATCCATGCCCCTGGCTGATGCTCTCATACACAGAGAACACTTCAGTCCCTGTCCAGGACTGCCTTTGAAGCAGCATAGCATAGTGGTTATAAGTTTACACCTGGGATCTGACTGTCTAGATGCCAATCCCAGCCTGAGTTCTCTGCTGACTGAATGGGCAGCATTGGGCAAGCTACTGACCTCTCTGTAGGTTGGTTTCCTTCTCCATGAAGTGGGAGTGATTAACAGCACTTATCTCCTAGGGTGCTTGTGAGGACTCAATGAATTTCTAGATGTAACCCACTTACAGCACTGCCCGGCACAGAGCGGACACTATGTAAATGGGGCTGAAGTGGTATTGCTATGATTGCTGTCATCATCATCAACATCATCATTTTTTTTTCTTCCAAGATTTTATTTAAATTCCGGTTAGTTAACATATAGTATAGTAGTGTAGTATTGGTTTCAGGAGTAGAAATTAGTGGTTCATCTCTTATGTACAACACCCAGTGCTCATCCCAACAAGTGCTCTCCTTAATGCCCGTCAATCACCCATTTGGCCCATCCCCCCACCCACCTCCCTCCAGCAACCCTCAGTTTGTTCTCTATCATTAAGAGCCTCTTATGGTTTGCCTCCCTCTCTGTTTTTATCTTATTTTACTTTTCCTTCCCTTCTCCATGTTCATCTGCTTTGTTTCTTAAATCTGACATATAAGGCCATCGTCATGTCTATATGTCTTCTCTCTCCAGAAGCCTTGCAAGGACAGGACGTGGTCTCATGTATCACAGCCAGCAGCCCAGCACAGTGCCTGTCCTGTGGGAGGTGTCCCATACATGTTTACTAAGTGATTTCCCAAATGAATTAAGGTTTTATTTTGTCTCGACTTTGCAGAATCCTATGCAGTTTGAAGAATCGGACTGTGACTCTTCAGATGGAGAGTGTTCTGATGCCACAGTCAGGACCAATAAACACTACAACTCTGCTACTTGGTAATGAAAGAAAACCCATCCTGAAGATCTCATGACTATACTGGCATTTCAGATCCATCCCAGCCCCAGACTCTTCCCACTCTCTCCCTGCTGTTCCGCCTGGGAAGAGAGCTGTCCCATCTTTCTTACCCCTAGAAATGAGCTGCAATAACAGGAACATGAGACTTCGCAAATCTCTTGGGAAAAAAATATCCAAATGAAATTAAGTCTCACTGAACATTTCAATCAAGAATGGCAGGGATCTATTTTATTGAATATTCTAGCTACTGTAACATTGATAATTTATTTTTGTTTGACATTTTAACACTTTGTACTGTAAAGAGTGAACATATATGATATAGAGAGAGACACAATAATTTCTTGCAAAGAGAGAGAGAGAAAGAGAGAGAGGAAGGAAGAAAGAAAGAAAGAAGTGGAATTTAGGAGCAACATCGTTGGGAATTTGTGGGGCCAAGAGGTATTATTACTACTTGAACAGGGGACCAGTTCTTTTGGCCATTGGAGATGAAGAAGAGCCAGAGCAAGACATACTGATTATTTTAGAAAACAAAGAACAACAAAAGAAAAGCAATTCCAGGTAACTTGTGAACAGACCACATTAAGTTCAACCAGCTTGCCCACATGGGTGATGGAAATGATCTAGAAAAGACTGATGACCAGATATTTGCACCCAAGGTCTTTGAGGGCATGTGCTTCCTCTAGGAGGAAAAAAAAAAAAAAAAAGACAACTATACATGTGGAAGCTGATTTCATTTTAAGAACTTGAAGCAGCGTTTGGTAGTGAGACTTACAAATAGGATCAAGCCTTGTCTCTGACAAATACTTCCCTTTTTAATGCTGTCATTGTCATTACCTTGACAAATGTGTTACCTTGACCAGTGTGTTGATTTTTCAGACTCAAGTGCCATTTTCTTATAGCCTATTCCCTTTCCACCTGTTGACCACTTCCTCTAGGAAAAAAGGCAGGGGGTGCCAATAAGAGAAAAAGGAAATTTACAACAGTATTAGAAAAGCAAATGTGGAATTTGTGAAAGTGCATTCTCACAATGTCTCAGTTCAGCTACATGGAGAAGACGGGAACACCCCTCTCCAGTGGAACCAGGTTACTTGTCTACTAGAGTCATGTTGATTCAAACAGAACAGACTTTGAAGGCAGCTAGTATGTGTGTGAGTCTGTCCAATTTCCAATCCCAAACCACCCCCTTGTTTTTATTCATTAACTCATTCTATCTGGGAAGCTTTAGTGCCTGGCTACCACTATCAGGATAAAGGCAGCATAAGCAACTTGCAAAAGGCAACCCCTCCCCCACCACAATAGCATTTTTGTTAAATGCAACTTGTAGAGTGTATTTTACTGCACTTTGGATCAATGCAGTTTGAAATAATTGAATCTAGAAATTTACAGAAAGAGCAACTGATGCTGAGCAGCAGTTAGAGAGATTTTACATTGTCCAAGGCATGAGGTCCTGGCTTGGCTCTGGGGTCATGGGCTTTGAAAAGCATCCCAAAGTATTTCATCATGCCTTGGCTTCAAGGAAATTTTTATCTCGAATTTTATATAAAAACGGGTGTTGGCCTAGTTTCCATCTCTGTCTCCAAGATAGGTTACTGTCAAACAACCTCTCTAGGCTCAAGACCTGAAGAACATGGTTCGACTCTTTGACACTGCATTATGTTGGACTTTAGGAAAGACTTACACATACAGGTATTAAACTGTTTCCAACACAGATGAAAACATTGCCCTCTGCTGGGGGTCATGGATTGCATCAGCCAAAAAGGAAAGGTGGAGGGAATTTAGAGCACTTCCTTTGCTTGTTTGACCCCTCCATTTGTTTACACTTTATGTTGAGATGTTGATTTAAAGTTTAGTGTCTATAATTTATAGCTCTTAGGTAGGATGAAGGAAAATGTTTAACTTATACAGAGAGCAGTATTGTTTGCATTAAATTATTCCATTTTGTATAAATTCTGTAGCTGGACTACATGAAAGATCTTAAGTTATGGCATTATTATCACTGTTATTTTGTTTTATAATAATTATTCTCATTTTCTGTCGATCAGAAGGTGTGGCTTACAGTGTAGCACAATGATTGTGTTTATTGCTAACCATGAATAATTATGAATTTTTATGATTTTTATGAAGGAATGAAAATGGAACTGCCATTTGGGAGCTCCCTGGTATTCATCTTAGTTGTATTCCCTCATTTTCTGTGTGCAACAACAATCATCTGAGGATGCGGGTTCTGCCCTGGAGGCCAGTGGATACACTGTGGCTTTGACTTGATCCTGAAAGCTCCTGGGTGGGCAGATGACTGAGTGGATGGACAAATAGTTCAAAAGCTGTAAACTTTCTCAAGTTTCTTAAGAAATAAAATCACGGGACTACATTAGGAGCAAAAAGAGAATTATTTAGTCCCCTGGGAGGAGCCGACCTAGGGAGCTGCTGCCTGGGGCCCATGGGTTAGGCAGATTCAAGAGCGGGCAGCACAGTTGGTCATCTCCTTCTTGCCAGGTCCCATTGTACCAACCTTTTTTCCCTCCTGGCTGGGAGTAGCAGGGAAACCTAAAAAGAAACAAAAAGATATATATATATATTTATATATATATAAAATGACATTGACATAAAATACCTAGCTATGATGTCATCCCATAATAAGACTAGAGACATTCTAGAAGGAGGCCTACTCACTTAGAGGGTGATAGGGCGGGAAAAGTACCTTGAAAGGCCGTATTTTCCGTCCTTGGACTTCAGACCACACTCAACCGTGAATCTGTCGTCTGGTTCATTTCTCCTGGGAACAGAGAGTTCATTTCTTGGGACTTCAAACCACACTGAACTGTGAATCTGTCTGGTTCATTTCTCCTGGGAACAAGTCTATATCCTTTTTCTCTCCAACATCAAACACACTTTAGCTCATCCAGTTCTTGCCCACCTGTAGTAGCAAAAGAGAAACATGAGGGTCAGCTTCTGTCTTACATCTTTCAGTGACGGTCTTCCTCAAAAACCTACACCTGATACCTCATAACTTTGATGTTTTCTGAATTCCCAGATATGATGCCATATACCTATCTGGGTTAACCATTATGAGCATGTCAGGGTACTAGACAGTGTTGAATCTTGAGTCATTCACTGTGTTGTCAAGAGTTGAATAAAGCTCCACCTTGAACCTTTTTATTTATTTATTTATTTTTAGTAGAAGTGACGCGAGGCTTCAGAAGAGAGCAGTGTCCATAGTTTAGGTTAAAAAGAGAAATGCCTTCTCTATCCCAGCCTTGCTCTTCACTGCCTGCCTTGAGCTAACCGGGACAATTTTGAACCGGTGTGTGTTTCTTGGAGAACAGCTCCACAGTCCTCTGAGGAGTGCTAAATCTAGAGCTCAGGGACTGGAAGAGCTGATTCTTCAGTTCTGAGGACTCTGCCACAGTACTTTAAGGAACCTCATGAAACCGTAATTTCAAGCTTCATTGTTGATTGAAAGCTTAACCCCCCTTGCAATCAGTGTCCACATTCATTTAGCATCTGTTTTTGACTAACTGCAGGATAAAGAACTTTAATTTGTGTTGCAGATGAACATTTGGTTCTGATTTTCATCTATTTCTAGGTCATGTCCTCTGATAATAATTCCTATTAAAATTGCTTAGCAGAGGGACCGAGAAGCCAACATTCACTTTGAAATCATAGTAGACCTTACCGCCACTGAAGTTTAGACCTGATCGCACGATTGTGGGAGCCCCTACTCAGAAAGGGTGAAGACGCTAGCACTGTGGTAAGATGATTTGGTAGAACCTACTTGAAGTTCAGATATTTAAAAACTTTACTATAAACAAAGCATCCTTCTAGAGTTAAGGACTTTTTTAGTAGGACATACTAAATACTGGACACACATTTCAGGGCCTCATTGTGCTAAATTTCCCTCTTATCCTAAATAATAGATATGATGATTTGGGATTTTGCTGGGACCAACCTAATTTTAAATGCGCTCCCTACTGTGAAGCATTGAAACAGCCTTTCCATGTGAATGCATCCTCATTGATCAAGCGATTTACTTTTTTATCCCCATGCCCTTTTGTCTCAAGTGTTCCTCGCCCGCGCCCCCCCCCCACCTTCCATAAAATGTTCCTACTTGAACTTCCTGGAACCGAATTCTCCAGAATAGAACATACTTGGAATCCAAGGAATTACTGCCCTCCTCTGCAGTAGTGTGCTGTTTTGTTTTTCCACTAAGACAGAAACCAATATACTACCACATGCCACCATCTACCACCTCTACCCTAAACACCCAAGATCAATGTTACTTATTGATTGCCATATTCTTTCCCACCCAGCCCAGACACAGCCTCAGAACCTCTCATCATACAGCACTTGGAGAAATAATGACAACTTGATTGGAATTGGTATGCAAGGGGAAATCTATTTCAGCATCCCAACTCAAAGCTCAGAATTAATTTTCTCAAGGTGGTTTGAGATCTTGAGTTAGCCCTGAAGGGAGAATGACGGGACCACACTAGTGTTCTCCTTTGGAGCCCACCCTGTGGCTATGGGGGTCAGCAACACTGGCAGGGAAAAGGCCACTTGCTTCCACCACCGCCCTTTTGAACTACAATTCCAATTGAATAATTCCCATTACCGATGGATTGAATTCCAAAGTGTCTCTTTACTTACATCATTTTGTTGTGTTAAATAAGCATGTTCCTCCCTCCCCTTCTATAAACAGTTAATGTTAGATCCCAGTTAACCTGCTTCTTTCTTAGACCCTGTGAGGCAAATGTATCAAAACGAAATGATATTCTTTTTAAGACTTTGATGTGTATTGATGAATTTAGTGCCTTTCCAGGCAGCAAGCTTTTTCTTTGCCGATTTCATAGAATCAAGGTCCTACTATACTCATACCGCCAGTGTTACCAACCTCACAGACTAGCACATAAGAATTACATTAGTCTGTTTGTTTGCATGTTACAGCCAATACTACAAGCATGTATTCAAACTGGCATGAACTAGGTTGCCAAGTGGAAGATCCTTCTGGAACCTGGAACACTTCTCAGGGACAGGTGGCAGAAGAGGGAAGCTCTGAAAGCACTGCTCTGAAACCAGGGTTACCCCAAAGGAGTTGGGCTAAGGTTTTGTTAACTGTCACATGACCAGGGCATGATGGCAGGATTTCATAAAGACAAGCTCCTAAGCAGATGCAAGGCCACTGTAAGAAAACTTTCAGCAGACTTATTCTGTGGAGCCATTTCACAGCACTTGGGAATGCCAGCTCCTGGCCCCAGGCTGCCATCCAGTGACCTGGCAGACAGAGTCCTTCAATGGTTATATGCAGAGGGACCCTGCAGCCAGAATGTGCAAGCAATTAGGAAGATAGCCATTTTTTTCTTTCTTTTTTTAAACAAATAATATATTTTTAAGCTTATTTATTTTGAGAGAGAGCACAGGAGGGGCAGAGAAGGAAAGGAGGGGTGGGAAGAGAGAGAGAGAGAGAGGGAGAGATTGAGAATCCCAAGCAGGCTTCACACTGTCAGTACAGAGCTCAACGTGGAGCTCAAAGTCAGGAACCACGAGATCATGACCTGAGCTGAAGTCCAGAGTCCGACGCTTAACCGAGCCACCAAGGTGCCCCAAGAAGATATCCCTTATTGACCATATCTGAGTGGCTTTCCACCTCCAGTGCCCTCTTCTCAGATTCTGCAAGTGGGAAGACCCACTCTGATTCTTTAGTGCAATAATTTGAGTTCCTATCAATTTGGAGCGAATTCTTTCTTGTGGTTAGGTCTCAAAATGAGCTTCCTCATCTGTCTCCCTGGATCTCCGGTACCATCAGTCCCCTGCTCCCTGTGGTTTCTGACGCCAGCTCCATTTGTACTGAGTAACTGTACAGTGATGGGAACAAGAGCGACTATCAAAGCAAACAAGTGCATGGAATTAAAAAGCTTGCTTCACTCTTCTCTGGTCCTGTCTTTTCCTAAGCTACTGTTTGTGTCCTGAAAGCTGCCTTCATGGGCCTCCGCACCTGTCAGAGCTGTAGGGCAAGGAAGACTTCACATTGCAGGGTGCCTGCAGCCAGGAAAGCCAGGTGTGGAGGTTCTCTGTGGCTGTGGTTTGACACACCTACAGAAGGAAGGGACAACCATCCCTCTCTTAGAGTCTCTTTCCCAGGATTCTGTCACATTCCGGACAGGTGCCCTTCTTCCTTCCCACGGCTTTCCTGCTGCCTATCTTGTAGCTACTCTGTCATTGGCAACTCCACTATAAAGCAAAGCGTAGAGAAGGAAAAGGTGAAAATGAAAATCTGGCTTCCAAGGAATCCTACTGGTAAGAAGCCTCCTGAGAGAGGAATGCTAACACACCATTTTGGAGTGTCTGATTTTCAGTCAATCCTCATTCCCACTGGCAAGGGGAACTGAACGTTAGCAACATGTACCACACACCCCATACAGAAGGTTTATATCCATTTATTTGGGAAATTGCTTTGCCTGTAAACTCACAACTGGTAAGGCACATTGTAGCAAAATCGTGGGGCAAGAGGGAGAGAGACAAACATAGGGATCTTGAAAAAGGGCAAAGGGCACACACTTGCAATCCTGGAGAAAACATACTAACTTCCCCGTCCACCTCCAGAACACAACCTTCTCCTCACCCCCACTCCTGTTACCACGCTTCTTTTAAAGCAATACATCTTTGAAAATGAAGTCCTTGTTGTGTTTTTTGGATATACCATGACCCAAAAACACTACCTGAGAATTCATTCTTCCTCCTGAACAGGAGTATTCTCAAGAATTCATGTAGAGCAAGTGGCTTGAGTGAAAGCCTTGGCAAGATTCTTGGCTGAGCCAAATCAAAACCCAGCAGATGATGCCCAGAGGCAAGGGTTCTGGTAAGCAATGACGAGTTACTCCTGTACCGTGTAGGATCCCAGGGCTGGTCAGTGCAGGCGCCAAGGTCCTTCTGTGCTTGGAAGCATTAACCCAGGTGTGTGTCAATTCAATACTGCAGCCGTAAGAAGCAGCAACAGCTACAGATCATTAAAATACAACACAACAAAGTAATCCAAAACCAAATTTTTCTCCTCGGATTAAAAGCTAAAATAGAATTACATCTCAGTTATTCTTGACAAATGACAAAATGACAAAAATCCAGAGGCTACGCTGGCTGACAGCTGAGTGTACTGAACCCATTCTCCTAGCAGGACAGAGATGGGATTCCCACACAGAAAGGACAGATTATAAAATGGACAGGTCATTTGGTTCCAGTGCGTCAAGGGGCCCTGCCCCATTCAGACAGGTAAGAATGTCTCCAGAACATACCCAGAACATGCATAGTTTGCTGCATTCATATTTAATAGTCTATTTGCAATCAGCTTAATTGTCAGAACATGCAACCAAGAGATTTGACATGTATGATAATGTCAGTGCATCTGAACACAAAGTATCACAGAAATCACGGTGCATTTGACTGTAGGTGGAAGTTCTATGCAGTTTGTCAGCTAGTTCCCCTTGGTTTATGGAAGAGGTAGGTCAGCAGCAAAAAAAAAAAAATACAGAAGAAAACAGTCTCCAAAGAGACTGACAAGATGAAGGGGTACCATCAGTGATGTGGGTTCATGCCATCATTTACACCAGTAACATCCACTAGGGATTTAACAGAACACCGGTCACAACAGCCTACCACTTGTCAAAAGAGGCCCTGTGGACAGGACAATCCACATCCTCTCCTGAGGCAGCGCATGGCTTGCTGAGAAGCAAATACAATAGACCATCCGGAGCTCCTTGTTGTTCAACAAAATACAAGCAGGATTTTCTAGAAGGCCATCCATTTCACGTTTCACGGAGTGCTCTGCTAAATCAGGACTGGTTTGAGAACCTGATACAGTTCACCTTCTAGAACACAGAGTGTCCTTTATAAAAACATTGCACACAGATAGACAGTGTCCAAATCACCTGTTGAGGGTAATTAAAAAACAGCGAGGGGCTGCACAGGACCACATCCATTATACAAATAATGCAACAAAGTCCAGCGACACAGCAACTGAAAACCCAGATCATGTGTCCTTCCTATTTAGATGATGAGTGTTGCTTATTTCATTCAGATGCAAGTCCTTCTGACTAAATTTTTTAATGAGCGTTCCAGGAACTAAGGCCACCAGGGCAATGGCCAAAAGCTTGAAGACCGTTTCCCAGGAGAAAAGAGCATCCAGAGAGGTCAGAGTTGACAGAATGGAGCCTGTCTGCACACAGATAAAATTGTATGGGATCAAACCTGAAAGAAAAAGGCAAGAGCCTGTTACCATGGGCAGCAAAATGAAAAACAATAACCCGTCACAAATATCCCCAGGAATTCACAACCCTGACTCCAGATTTTTTTTCCCCAACTCCTGACCCCTAAGCACTTTACCTCCTCCCTTCCCTTCTCCACTCCTTCCCCTCCTTTCCTCACTTCCCATAAACTGCCTTCTTTAACAGACTTGAGATGACTTATAAAAATACATAGACTACAATAAGACAAAAAAAATTTTTTAATAGGAAAAACAAAAGAGTCAAGAATAAATTAATCCGGGGATACAGTTAACACAAAGAAGTATTAAGGTTCACCAATTTGCTAGAAGTGTCCCAAGCTGGGTTCTGAGCACCCAACAGCCGAAGTACTGAGAGGCACCAGTATTCTGGATTTAAAGTATGCTAAGAGAAACACAATTTTCTTAGAAATAGTACTATTTTCATGTTTTATACTGTTTCTAAAAGATCAAATCCACTGGGTCCCAAAAGTCTGACTGGTAACCAGACAGGCTGGTTGTATAATAATCCCTCGGGGAAGCTGTTAAAAACACATTCTTGGGCTCCCCCCAGAGATGCTGGTTACCTGGTTACCCTGGGATAAAACCCAGGGACCTGTATCCCAACAGCTTCTCCTGACCGCTACTCCGGAGACTCTGATCGGTTTGGGACCCCCGATAACCTGTTCCTCCTCTATGGTAGATGATGCCTCAAGTTCACAGAACACTCAAGGTCACACAGCTTGTCAGAAGGGGGACTGGAGTCCCGGTCTCCAGAGTCTTTCCAAGCCTCCTGCCACGTAGGTAATTACAGGCTGCTGAGGGACTGAGACACTTTGAAAGCCAAAATGACCAGAATGAGCTGTGGTCAATTTTGCTTTGCTTTAAGATCTGACTTTCTCTCAAGAATTCTCTATTAATAGCAGCTGCTCAACCACAAATTTGTTATGTTCGACCTAGAAGCTCTGAGTAGTCTTTCCCTCTGTGCTCTGAAGTAGGTTTGAGAGAGGCAATCCTTGCCTAGGCTTAAAGTAGGATGGTTTACTTCCAGTGTGGAGAAAACAATAGTCACTGATTTTACAGGATGTCAGCACGTTAACCACGCTGATGAAGGTGATCCAAGGCACAGACTTTGAGAAACTCTTCTCTAGTTTCAGCCCCTCACGTGGCCAAATGGCTCATGGAAGGTAAGTAGCTTATTGAAGGTCATACAACTGTCAAAAGGCAACAAAGAACTTCACTAGTACTAGCTCTTCTCAAGGCAGATTTTTTTTTCAAGGTAGATCTTCACCAGAGACCAGAGCCAGGCACATGCCTGTGTGGCTGATAATACAGGGCAGGCCCCCAACGTGACAACGCTTAACCCACCAGCTCCTTACCGATCAGAACAGAGAAGAAGAAATGCACAATCGGGATGTTCAGAATCGGAGCTGAGAGGTTCAAGAACCAGTTTGGTGTCATGGGGAAAAGTCTCAAAAACAGTAAGAAAAAAAACAAGCTGTTTTTGTTCTCCTCCACCTGTAGCCAAAAAAGACAAGGCCATTAAGATGCAGAAAGAATCTCTAGCTATAGCAATCTGTTAGTGCCAAGCACTTTTCTAGATACTTCACATATTCTCTTCCTGAATCTTCCAAGAACCTCCAGGGTAGAGATTGTTTTCCTCATTTTTAAAAAAAATTGTTTTAATGTTTTATTTATTTCTGAGAGAGAGAGAGAGAGAGAGCGATAGCATGAGCAGGGGAGGGTCAGAGAGAGGAGACACAGAATCTGAAGCAGGCTCCAGCCTCTGAACTAGCTGTCAGCACAGAGCCCAACGTGGGGTTCAAATCCACGAACTGCAAGATCACGACCTGAGCCAAAGTCGGGCGCTTAACCCACTGAGCCACCCAGGCGCTCCTGTTTTCCCCATTTTTCAAATGGAAGTACCTAAGGCTCAGAGAAGTCAGGAACTTGCCCAAAGTCACAGAGCTGGTAATGATGAGGCTGAAATTTGATCCCAGGGCTGTGACTCCTGAACAAAGGAACCCCTGGGAGCTCCAAAGCAGGGTTGAAGAGTGCAATGGCAAACTCCTCAGGGCCTTGAAGTGACTCTCCGGGGGGTCAACACTCAGCTGTGGCCCCTCTCCTTACCTTCCTCTGCAGCAGGGATACTTTATCAGGAAAGTAGGAGACCACCAGCTGTTTGCCAAAAATACTAGAGAGCAGGTAGCAGCACGTGGCGCCCACTGATGTCAAAACACAACACAGCAGAAGCCCCAGCCATGGTCCAAATAAAGCACCAGCTAAAATGTTCTGCAAAAACAAAACAAATAAAACAAAGTAAAACCCTCAGCCATTAGAACATCTCGTGGCTACCAGTCACCTTGTACTGGAGCCTGAGAGTCATGGGTTCCCTCCTCTTTTAGTGATTTTTCCCAGCCAAAACCCAATTCCCATTTTATTTTATTATTGATTTATTTTTTTAATGTTTATTTATTTTTGAGAGAGAGAAGGAGACAAGTGCGAGCAGGGCAGGGGAGGGGCAGAAAGAGAGGAAGACACAGAATCTGAAGCAGGATCCAGGCTCTGAGTTGTCAGCACAGAGCCCGATCCAGGGCTCAAATCATGGACCATGAGGTCATGACCTGAGCCAAAGTTGGACACTCAACCAACTTAGCCACCCATGTGTCCCCAACTCCCATTTTATTTTATTTTTTAAATTTATATACAAGTAAGTTAGCATATAGTGCAACAATGAGTTCAGGAGTAGATTCCTTAATGCCCCTTACCCATTTAGCCCATCCCCCCTCCCACAACCCCTCCAGCAACCCTCTGTTTGTTCTCCATATTTAAGTCTCTTATGTTTTGTCCTCCTCCTGTTTTTATATTATTTTTGCTTCCCTTTCCTTATGTTCATCTGTTCTGTGTCTTTTTTTTTTTTTTTAATATTTTATTTATTTCTAGGAGAGAGAGAGAGAGAGAGACAGTGTGAGCAGGGGAGAGTCAGAGAGAGAGGGAGTCACAGACTGAAACAGGCTCCAGGCTCTGAGCTGGCAGTCAGCACAGAGCCCGACGCGGGGCTCGAACCCACGAACCGCGAGACCACGACCCAAGCGAAAGTCGGACGCTCAACCGACTAAGCCACCCAGGCGCCCCTGTTCCGTGTCTTAAAGTCCTCGTGAGTGAAGTCATATGGTATTTGTGTTCCTGTGACTAATTCTGCTTAGCAGAATACCCTCTAGTTCCATCCATGTAGTTGCAAATGGCAAGATTTCATTCTTTTTGATGGCTGAGTAATACTCCATTGAATATACACACCACATCTTCTTTATCCATTCATCCATCGATGGACATTTGGGCTCTTTCCATTATTTGGCTACTGTCGATAGAGCTGCTATAAACATTAAGGTGCATGTGCCCCTTTGAAACAGCACACCTGCAACCTCTGGATAAATACCTAGTAGGGCAGTTGCTGGGTCACGGGGTAGTTCTATTTTTAATTTTTTGAGGAACCACCATACTGTTTTCCAGAGTGGCTGCATCAGTTTGCATTCCTACCAGCAGTGCAAAAGAGTTCCTTTTTCTCCGCATCCTCGCCAACGTCTGTCGTTGCCTGAGTTGTTAATGTTGGCCATTCTGATAGGGGTGAGGTGGTATCTCATTGTGGTTTTGATTTGTATTTTCCGGATGATGACTGATGTTGAGCATTTTTTTCATGTGTCGGTTGGCCACCTGGATGTCTTCTTTGGAGAAGTGTCTATTCACGTCTTTTGCCCATTTCTTCACTGGATTATTTGTTTTTGGGGTGCCTCAACTCCCATTTTAAAGGTGTGAATAAAAAGGAATGGAAGAGCTGGAAACTCCAACCTTGGCCTTGGTCCCTTCACCTTCTAAACAGGGAGGATTAACACTTCAGAAGGCAGGTGAGAATTAAATGGAATAATACAGTGCTCGCAGCCCCCTGCCTACTACATGGGTTATGGTAGGTCCTGCAAACACTGGTGCTCCAGGAAGGGAGAAACGGAACTCACACGTTGTTTTTACTATTTTAAAGGAACACAAACCACCAATTTCCCTTCAGTAAGACCACACAAGCTATATAAAACTCCTTCTTTCTTTGCTTCTAGCCGGAACTACATCTGTGTGGTACACAACACGGGGGTTCCATGTTGAGGAGAGTTCTAGCCAACACTTAAGTCTTCATCTAACAAAAATGGAAAGTGAACTGATATTCCTTAAATACACTTTGGCCAGTAGACATTGCCCTGCCAACCATGGGATCCAAGAGAGAAAGTAAAAGGGGAACTTAGATGTGAGAAGATGGGGGTCTGATGAGCACCTGCTATATGTTAAGTGCTTGACACCATGTCTTATTTAATCCTATGACGACCCTTTGTCATATGCCAGCCTCACACCACTCTACAGGGATAAGAGACTAAGTATCAGGCCCAAGCTCACACTTGGCAGACAGGATTCACCCTCAGGTAGCATTTGACTCTGTCCTGAAGAGGAATCAGCTCAAAAGGAAGGAAATCCCAAGAAGCCAGCTCCTGACTTCCAGCACCACACACCTCCCCTGTTTCTCTTGGCATGGACATGTTTGCTTTTGTTCCAGTTTCCAACAAAGATTCTGCTTACGTGCATCCAGCCTGAGCCTGGCATAGAGAAAAGATGCCAGGGCAGGAGAAAGAAAGAAGCAGGACAGAAGGAAGCTTTCAGGGGTTTCCTCTGCTCAGTCACTTAGTCATTCAACGAATGCTGAAGGCCACTGTGTGCCAGGCACCATCACTGAGCCAGCTGCTCTACGCCCACGTTCCATTCAATTCTGCCACGCAACAATCCTGGGGGGTTGTGTGAGTATCCCTGCTTTCCGGATAAGGGAATGGGGCTGGAGAAATTAAAGGGTTGGCTCATGGTTACACAGCTGGGATTCAAACGCACCCCAGGCCCTAAAATATACACACATTTACATACAGCAGCTTAAAATGCTGCAGGGAGCACAGCAAGGTCCTTCTGTAGAACCTGAGGTGGGGACGGATGAGAGGCAGCCCGCAGCTGAAGCGCATGCCCAGGCCCAGCACTGCGGCTCCGGCTCCGAGTGCTGGGGGCTGCCTGGGAATTCAGAATGACCTGTCCTCCCACACCAGGGAAGCTTCCAGCCTCGCCAGCCTAACATCACCATGAACAACTTATGTTTGTTTATCAAACATTTGTGAAGGCACTTCCCCGTGCAGGCAAGGAAATAAAAAGCTGAGAATAAGGAATGGGCCTGGTCCTTCAAGAGCTCAAAGACTAGTGGAGAAAAAAGATTAAAAAAAATAATAATAAAAAAAAAAAAAACAGAAAACAGTGTCAAAATGCAGAACATTATAGAAGCTCTGAGAAGGAACAGCTGAGCCAGCCCACATTGTATGTGTGTCCAGGACAGCACACAGCCATCAATGCCTTGCAAACAAAAATAGCACACCTGAGAGAAGAGGCAGACTCTGGAGCTGGGCAGACATGGGTTCAGACCCCAGCCCTGTCCCCTTGGACAGTTACATCTCGCCACCTGCTTCCTTATCTGTAAATTGTGATACTCAGGCCCACATTATAAGGCCATTAGGAGAATTAACTAAGGTCAGTAAAGCAACTGTGAAAGTGTCTGACACGTGGGAAGCTGTCAACAAATCACTGCCACAGCAGTCTAGCTCTGGACCGTAAGATATGCAGCCGCTACGAATACGGAAGGTGGCGGGGCACCTGGGTGGCTCAGTCAGCTGAGTGTCTGACTTCAGCTCAGGTCATGACCTTGCAGTTAAGTTCGAGCCCTACATCAGGCTCACTGGTGTCAGCGCAGAGCCCACTTCAGATCATCTGGCCCCCTCTCTCTGCCCCTCCCCATCGTGCACTCTCTCAAAAATTAGTAAATATTGGGGAAAAACAGAGGAGGCACTGGGTGGCTCAGTCCGTTCAGTCCAACTCTGGCTCAGGTCATGATCTCACAGTTCGTGGGGGTCAAGCCCCATATTGGACTCTGCGCTGACAGCTCAGAGCCTGGAGTGTGCTTCAGATTTTGTGTCTCCCTCTCTCTTTCTGCTCCTCTACTGCTTATGCACAGGCTCTCGCTCTCTCACAATAAACAAACATTAAAAAAAAAAAAGACAGAAGGTGGCTTTCTAGCAGGCACAGAAGGAGGGCAGCGGACTGACCAGGAAGCTGGAGCCAGGGATGGCAAAGCCCTGTTTGTAGAGGTAGGCACTGCAGAACAGCAGGAACACGTAGGCCTGATGCTCCTTCCGGTACTCTCGAAGGACCTCAGAAAGTTCCCGCAGCTCAGCCAAGTCTGAGGGGAACCACAGTGACCTGGAGATTTGGAAAAGCAGATGGAAACAGGAGTCCAGATCAGACTAGCACCTAAAATACTAGTTGTATTTTCTTCCCAAAGTAGGTTTATAAATGTACCCATCATCTGGTTTGCTGGGAACACACACATAATGGAGGCCCAGGATGACAGGTGACCTGATACAACACAGCAGAGGCAGACAGAAGAGCCCTAGTTTTGGAAGCAAGAGACCTGGCTTAACATCTCAACCCTGCTACCATCCAGTAGTGGGATCTTGGGCTAGTGCCTGGGCCTGTTTCCTTACAGGAAAAATGAGTGGTAAGTTTCCTTATAGTTCTCAGGTTTTATGATCTATTCTTAAGAGACAAATGGATTAATTTTCAGGCAAGAACCATATGTCCTAAATTGCCTTCCGTTCATGGAACACTCCCTCCCCCACAAACTTCAGTCCGAGGACAATTAAAATTTCACATTGTTCCTGAGTTCCCAGGTAAGACTGTTTATCAGTCACTAACCAGCCAGTTAAAGATTCTCTGGTAAGTATATCTGTCCCATACCAGAAACATAACCTTCTTGATAATATGTCGGGCTTGAAACCAACCCTTTCAAAGAGGCTGCTTGTTCACCCAGCTCTTTATCCGGTCTTTAGTGGATTCTGAACCCTGTTCAAGGGTTACAGTGTAAAGGCTACCTTGCCTCTGACACTTTGAGAATAACCCTTTAATCCATCAATGATCAATTATGAGCACACCCTCCTAGTTCTCATCATCAAAATGTTTCTTAGTATGTCTGACACCCACAGCTAAGCCTACCCAACCTCCCAACTAGAGTAACTGAAAACAGTTACCCTCGTATTCAAGTATCAGTAACATCCTTGTGAACGCTCTGCGGCTCCAGGCACACTTCATAAACTTTATCAACAGTTCGCAACGCTGCCGGCAAACCAGCCCGGTAGGTGTGGCACCGCCTCCTGCCCCACCCAGACGGTCAGGAGATGCGGGAAAGTACAGACATCCAGGAAGAGGGGCGGATCCGATCACTAATTCGTGAATATTTCAAGAAGTCCTTGCAACACTTCTGCCGACCGAATGCCGTAGAGTCCCAAGGGCAGGGCTGACGGAAGTGGGGGCGGGGGGTGGGAAGAACGATGGAGCGGAGGCCGAAAGCTGTCGCGGGGATGGGGCTGCGGGACGACACAGGCGCGAGGGTCGGCTGCAAATGCGGGTCAGGGCTGGGCCAGGAAGGCGACCGGCACCCGGCTCCTGCTGCGATGCCACCGCGCGGAGAGAGGTGCGCGAACCCGCGCCGCCGGCATGAGGCTCCGCGTTTCCCTCGGCCCTGCCCGCAAAGCCACCGACCGCGCGCCCAAACTGCACTCCGCGCCGCCGGCAGCGCGCAGGTTCAGTCAGGGCCAACCCCAGCTCCCATTCACCCGGCCGGCCAGAGACCCGACAGAGGCGGCCAGGACTCCAGCCCCGATCTCCGGAACCACAACTGAACCATGGGCCCCCGACGCCTCCGATCCGGGAACCGAATCTCCGACTGGAAGACCCCATCCTCGGACCTGCGTCCCTTCGTCTGACCCGAACCGCTGCCCCCGCCACCCGCGCCACGCACCTGCCTCCAGTCTCCTCGTCGGAGCCCAGCGTCCGCCCGCGGGGCAGTCGCGTCGACAGCAAGTACAGGGCGAAGGTGCAGCCGACGAAGACCAGCAGGAGGCCGAGCAGGGGGCGCATCTCGCGGCCGGCGATCGGACCCGCGGGGCCACAGGGGAGCCTGCAGGCAGCGCCGGGCGGGGCTGCGCGCCGGCCTGCGCCTACGGAGCGCATTCACGGACGGACCGGGGCGGGGTCCGCGCCAAGCCCCGCCCCTGAGCCCAGGCCCCGCCTCCGTGCTGCGCTGCTCGGGCGGGCCCGTCCGGATTCCAGAGGAAAGTGTCTTCCAGCGTCTCCACGCGTGCGTCTGCCCTCGCATCCGCTCACCTTTTTACACGTTAACCTTTGGCTCTTCCTCTGCTTATTTGCAGGTTCTTTGCCAGGCGCTGGGAGATCCAGGGGTGATTCACGAGTCCTGCCCACAGCGAGCTTGCAGTCTAGTGCTCAAGAAACTTTCGTCCACAGCCAGCTGTGACACAAAGCAAATACAGCCAGGACTGCAATCAAGTATGGTGGGACGTGACCAGAGAAATGGTGAAAATTACTCTTTATTGAGCGCCTACAATATGCCCATTACCTTTAATCCTTACAGCAATCCCGCAAGGTTGGTATTTTTGTCTTGAACAGATGAGAAGTCTGATCCTCAGATTAAGTGACATCCCCCAGCAGAGAGCCCTGATGACTGCTGCCAGCCCTGACCACCTGAAATAGGGCATCTCAAGATCTTTGTTGGTCTCATAGCTCTGGCGGCAGAGTCCGCTTATTTTGTTAATGGTTCTGGTAAGATTTCTCATCATAATTTCTAGCTCTGCTGTGCCTGCTTCAAGCCATGAACCTAGGATTCTAAATTATCAGTTAAACTCATCTCTGGGATATTCCTCAGGAAGATGACACCCTTGGCTGTGGCCACAGCTTTTGTTTTTATATTTAGAAGGGTGCTTATCTGGATAACTTTCTGTTATTGATAAGGCTCTTGACATTTTTTTTTAATTTTTTAAAACATTTTTATTTATCTTTGAGAGACAGATCACAAGCAGGGGAGAGGCAGAAAGAGAAAGAGACACAGAATCCGAAGCAGGCTCCAGGCCCTGAGTAAGCTGTCAGCACAGAGGCCCATGCGGGCTCAAACCCATGAACTGTAACGTCATGATTTGAGCCAAAGTTGGATGCTTAACCGACTTAGCCTCCCAGGTACCCCAAGGCTCTTGACATTCTTAAGTGAGGTTTAGGGGTAGCAGCTGTAATCATTTTAAGACTAGTAAAAAGGGGCTTTAGGTATCTTAGAAAACCTGTGTCTCTGAGGCCTCCAACTATTAAGGCATTCCTAAGCCCAAGGCTGGTAATAACCACAAAGGAAAATGTATTCCTCTGGTGAGCAGAGGACTCCAGATGTTAAGAGAGAAAGAGAGAGCATCAGGATTAGATTTCAAGTCAGCCTGGGTCCAAAACTAGTGGTCCTACACTGTGTGGATTCATGGTTTCAGTTTACCTTAACGATGAGCAGGACTTCCCCATAGAGAAAGGAGGAAGAAGGTGAGCTGGGGGCCCAAGTAAGGCACCAGAGTCCAGTTTTGTGAAGCCTAAACTGTATGAGAAATGGGTGAAAAGTTGGAGACAAAGTGGAAAGCAGGCTCAGGAGCTGGATTTTTTCAATACAGTATATGGTGAGTCACCAACAGAGGTGTTTAAGCAAGAGAATGATTTAGTTCCCATTTTCGGATATTTGCTCTGGAGGATGATTACAATACATTCTGAATTGGTCGCTGCAACTGTCCTGGTAAAAAAGGATGCAGGCTGAGCCAGGACCACAGCAGTGGGGATGACGGGAAGGGGAGGAGCTGAGCTGGTAAGACATATGACTGATTACATGCAGAAGAGGCAGAGAAGACCCCAAATGCCACAAGCCTAGACAATAGAGTAAGCACCCTTGCCATATCGTTCAAAGCACCTCTTCAGTCAGATAGAGAGAGCCTTTCAGAATTCAGAGTGTACCAGGTCCTAGCAATTCCACATCCAGGAATTTAACCTACAGATATGCCCACAGATAAAGGTGTGGGTACAAGGGTATTCTCTCAGCTTTGTTTTGTTATTAAGAGGTTGGGAACAACTTAAATGCCCATCAGTTGGGGACTAGTGAGGTTAATTGTGGAATATTCACAAAAGAAACAGTAAGTAGCTTCCTAAAAGAGGGAGCCAAGTCTGTATGTCCTGATATAGTGCAGTCACCATACACATATTGAGATGAACATCGAACAAACAAGTCGAATTGTTAGGGTACATCCGTACTATGACACATCTGTAAAAGGGTAAAAGAAAGGGGGGGATATGCTTTACCTTTTGAAAATACTGAAGTATTTATGAATGAAATGATTCGGTGTCTGGGATTTGCATCAAAATAATGGTGTGGGAATTTAGTGGGTAGGGATACTAATCAAACAAGATTGGCCATTCAATTGATCATTGTTGAAGCTGGATGATGGGCACATGGAAGTAGATTTTATGCCGTTTATTCTATTTCTGTATATGTTGAAAATTTTCCACGTTAAAAATGTGGGGAAGTTCTCAATTCCATTCTCATTGTCTTCCCTCAAGCCCTCCATTCCACCTGAGTGTATGCACCATGTTAGTTCATGTCTGTAACAACACTCTTCCCTCTGTCTGGCAGTCTCTGTCTGAAAACTGCTGCTCTTTCATGGCCACCCTGGACAATTGGCACCCCCTCTGAAAAGTCTTCTCCAGCTCCTACAGTCAGAAAGATTGTTCCTTCTCTGTGCATGGGGTTCCCAGTGGAGTGTCTGTATTCCTGTTATTGCACATACTATGTCATTATCCATCTCCCCAGTAGACAGTAAACCTTTCAATAAATCAGACAGTGTCTCATCTCTCTTTTGTCTGTCTCAACCCTTATCCCTGTGCTTGGTTTATAATTGGCACTTAATAAATGTTTGTTAAATTAGTGGGTCAGGTCTAGCGAAGAAATGATTAGTTGTTTGGACTGGTACATCTTGATTTTGAGAAGTCAAAGGAATATAGGAAGAGAGAAAGTAAATGAGAAACTAACATTACTGAGCCTATGCCAGGAGTATACTGGGATAAGAACAGTAGTGAACAAGAAGGCAAGGCTTCTACTCTCAAGGACCTGACTTTCCCTTTGGTCGGGGGACAGCAAGAGGCTCCAGTGAGAGTTACAATTATAGAGTATAATAGGTGCTATGGGGAAAATAGACATGACTTATTCAGCTTATTCAACTCCAGAGAAGCAAGTATCATTAATCCACTGAAGATGAGTGGATGAGCAGGTGTTCAGACGAAGGTCTGTGTGTGTGCTGCTGAAAGCCGCAGCTGTGAGTGCTGAACAGGACTCAAGCCCCGCCTGAGCCCGTGCTCTTTCCTCTGCCCTGCTGCCTCTCAACAAGCAGGTGAAAATCCAGAGCTCTACCTGAATTCGGACCTGGAGGTCATCTGTCTACAGAGTTGAAACAGGAGAGAGGAGAAGGACTCCTAGGGAGACAGACTTTGGAAAGTAATGGCAGCTGATAGTCAGTGAGAACTTAGACCTCACGGTAAGCATTTTACATGCATGCATGAATGTTTTTACTCCACATAACACCCCTTGTGAAGTCCAGGAAACGGAAGCTTAGGAAGAGTTAAGTCAACAGAGGCCACACACCAGAACCTAATCTCTTACCTTATGCTACCTTCTTGAGAGAGAAGACTGAGATCAGAAGCCTGGTAAGGAAATCGTGGAACCAGAGAACAAGATGGCTTATTTAGGGATGTGGCTGACAGGGGAGGTATATCCTAAGAGTCTAAGAAACACTGGTAGAAAAGGAACCAATGTACAGTCTCTGAGTCCATGGAAAAACCCAGCAGAGAGTCATGAGGGTTGAGGGATTCCTCCAACCTGAGTTGGTAAGAGACCTTTAACAGAGAGAACTCTTTTGGGAGATGCAAACCTGACTCCCTACAGGCTCACTACCTAACCCTCTGCTTTTTGCCTGACCTGCCCCACTCTCCGTGATTCCTATTCTGATTTCTCCTGCTCAACCTGTCTGCTTGGGGAAGAAGCCTTGGACTGTGCTCCTCGCTCCCAACCCACTTCCACACTGATCTGTCTTCCTGACCCAGCACCTGCAGAGCTAACTCTTAACCCGCTGGTGCACCACCTGCAGTCTACACCAGCTTCTGCTGAGACCATTCATATGCAGCCCACGCCCAGGCAGCCTGACAAAGGACAGCGGTAACCCACTACCAGGGACACGTGCTGGACTGAGAAGCAGGTAGGTGACAATGGCTCAGGGAAGTGGGAGGGGGAAAAAAGGCAAGAGGTTCCAGTGAGAGTGAATTACCCAGGCACTCACCGAGGCTCTTTGCCTGTTTCCTTTACTGGCTTAATTAGATCTTCACGGAGCAATTGAAAAGAGGAGCTCGAAGGCCACATGATTTAGGTTCCCTATCCCCATTCCAACCATAACTGATTGGAACAGGATGGATACCTTCCCCAAGAGGAGGGTCAAAGGGTTGTCTCCTCTCCCTGGACTTCGGAATTGGACCACCTAGTGACTGAATAGCTGGGCACACGATGGAACCAGCGACCCCAGTGGTCCACAGCTGCACTGTGAGGAAGCCAGGCTGAGTCAGACTCATGGCAGAGCACAGGGTTAATAAAGGTCCATGAACTCTTACTAAAGGCCAGCAGCTGCCCCCATCCCTGCCCTTCTTGAAGGCTGATGGTTCAGCTCTTGGGTTTCCACAAGCCCCCTCTGGTAAAATTTGGGTTCGTATGAGTAGATTTCTGTTACTATGATCCAAGGTCTCCTTGGCTAAGATAGGGTTTTGCAGGACCGAGAGCATGGGGCAGGGATCTAAGGATGAGAAGTTACAAGTTTAGGGTCTGGGAAGTACCACAGTTAAGTGTGTTGATGTCTAAATCCAAGTGGAGGTGACTCCCTCAAATTCTAAAGATGAGTCCATTCCATTGTGTTCAGCAGACATTTATGGGGCACATGCTTTGTGCCTGGCACTGTGCTGGGTACCCACAGCTTCAGAGTGGGTACAGACACAGAAATATATTACAATATGAGATAATAAAAGCAATGATAGTGCACATACAAAGTCAGCGGTAAAGTGGGTGGCAGAAGGGAGTTGTGGAAAGCAAGGGGGACTTTGAACCACAGCTTGGAGTCATCCAGGAATGCTGGAGGGGCCTGGAGGGTTTTAGCTGTGGCACTGAAATGGGAAAGGGGGAGAGAGCAAAATCTCTTCACGTTCAGGACAGGTGGGCTTGCTGAAGGATGGTGTCGGGACCATCTGGAAGGTTCAAAGATGAGTGAAGAAAGCCATCCTCCCTTTTTCTTCCCCAGGGTGACTGGGAAATGGGGCACGGGTCTCCAGAGGTGCTAGGAGAGAAGGCTAAGGCAGAGAAGGGTGGGCACCTCAGAAATGAGCAATAGCCAGTAGAGGGAACTGCACATAGTTCCAGGGCTCAGAAGATAATGGGGAGTGTTCATTTAATATTTCCTGAGCACAGACTACATTGTAGGCACCACAGTGGGCACATGGCCCCTGCCTTGCAGAGCAGTCAAGTGGAGAAGACAGACATTAATCAAATCACACAAATAAATGTAAAAAAAAAAATAATGCTCAGTAGGAGATTGGAGGGAAGAGGGTAGACTGCAATTTAATTGCATCGTGGATTTGGGATTCAGACAGCTACTGTGACAAAGAGAGGGGAGAAGAAGCAAGGATGACCAGGGAGGGCGGGAAGGTCAGGGGCCTTGGGAGAATCTACAAAGGAAATGGGCACACCTGTAACTCCTTTCATTTCTCCAGATCACTGTCACGTGAGACTCATTGACCTTCATCTCCATCCAGTGAACAAACTTCTTTCCTTTATTCCTTCATCCATTTGTCTCTCCATCCACCCATTCCCCAGTGAGCCAGGTACTATGCTAGGAGACCCTAGAGAAGAAGTTAAAAGGGACACCTGGGTGGCTCAGTCAGTTAAGCATCCAACTCTTGATTTCACCTCAGGCTGATCTCATGGTGTATGAGATTGAGCCTCGAGTCAGGCTCTGCACTCTCAAGCAGAGCCTGCTTGGGAGTCTCTCTCTGCCTCTCTCCTGCACACTCTCTCTCTCTCTCTCTCAAAATAAGTAAATATTTTTAAAATGCTAAGAGAGGTCCTTTGGCCCAAGGAGTTTATAAATGATAGAAATGTTGTTCCTAACGTTTTCCTGCTATTGTTTTGGCCCCCTGCCTACCAGACAAGGGAAAGGACAAAGAAATGGCTGTACTAATCAAAATGTCGGACTTCCAGAACCTTAAAAAGAAATCAGGGCCTATCGGCACACTGATCTCTCTGCACAAATTGCTGAAGAAATGTGGGAAGTGGGATGAAGGCTGAGACGATATCCAAGTGGACAGGAGCTTCTTGAAGACTCATTCCTTTCCAAGATCAGGCATTCGCTGTAGGCACCCCTCACCTAAGTGAAGAGTCTATGGGATACAGGTAGAAACTTCTAAGTCATGTGCCACACAGGAATATATTTACAGACTTTTATAGTTTATAAAGAGTCCATTTCTTTTAAAAGGGTTGTTCTCACAGAAAGCTGTAGAACAATCACTTGGATGTGGAGGAGGTTATAGGGCCTGTGACTCTCAGGAATCCCAGGAACCTCCCTGCAGTGGCCACAGCTGTGGGATGGGTGGTGCCTACCCTGTGGCTCTGCCTGCATTGGGCATCCTGCTTCCGGGGTGGCGCTCCCTAGTTCCGGCCTCTCTGGCCTTGGCCCTCCAGCATCTCTTGATTTAGCTGCTGTTGTCACTCCATTTCACTGATCATACCTACCATACCTACTCCTGGGGAAGCCTAAGAATTTCTCAAACTGGAGGCCTCCAATGCTCCAAGAGCAAACCAGTGTATGCTTTGAATTCACCTGTTAGCAACCCAAGTTAGCATCCTTCCAAAAGGTTAGCATTAACTACCTCCAACAGGTGGATTGTAGATCGGGTGTTTTCGTTTTGCACCCATGCATTTTCTAAATTTCCTTCAAATAACCACAGATTGCATCAGTAACAGAAAAATAAACATCTCTCTTTTTTTTTTTTAAGTTTATTTTGAGAGAGCAGGGGAGGGGCAGAGAGAGAGGGGGTGGGGGAGAGAGAATCCCAAGCAGGTTCCATCCTGTCAACCCAGAGCCCACCACGGCCCCTGAACTCACAAACTGTGAGATCATGACTTGAGCTGAGCTAAGAGTCAGCCGCTTAACCAACTGATCCACCCAGGTGCCCTGAAAAAATAAACATTTCTTAGGGCTTGTTTAAAATGAGAGTTGCCTATAAAATGACCCTTCTTCACTTTAAGTGAAAAACAAGCTTCATTTTTTTCTCTCCTGTCTCACCCCATCCACTGTCACTGGGAGCGGTGAGGCTGTCACTCTGCTTCATCTGCCCTTGTTCCCTCATCCACTCATTATCCAGTCCCAGCAGCTGCCTTTCTGTCCCCACTTCCTCCAGGCAGCAACCCACTTTAGAGGAGATGGGAAGCTGGGTGTGGCTTTCCTGCCTCCCCGGAGCGAACAGCCCCAGAGAGAGGCTGTTGTCGAAAAGGAGGAGCTCTCTTGTTGCATATTAGATAAACTAAAGCAAAATAAATAAAAGCACATTCACATTTATCAAACCACTCACAGATGTGGCCCCTGTGGGATTTCAAAGAATCCTTCACAGACTTGCCTCCCACACCCACACAGCCACCCTGTGAGGTAGGTCAGTCTGCATTCCTTTCTGCATGCAGCGAGCTGGAGGGCTTTGGCACAGGGCATGTGGGGTCGAGGCCAGAGTGAGGTCTCCCGCTGGACCTTCCCCTTAAGATGCTTGCGGAGCAGAGCTGCCTGAGTGACTGGCAGCAGAACTGACAGGCCGGAACAAAGGGCCCCAGGACACAGCCACACAAGACTGTGGGCTGTTGGGAGCCTGGCTATTTCTGACTTGCCCTACTTAGGGGCTCCCTTCCCAGGATTGTTGCATAATCCAAGGTCGTTTGACATTTTGCAATGTGACATCCATGGGACGCTGCTGGGGAAAAAAAAAAACCCTGCTTTTTCATACTTTTCATGTGCCTTGAGGAAAAGGTGAGGTGACGCTTTTAAAAAGCCGGTAGTCGTAGCTTTCTTGATGTTACTGGTGCTCATGTGTCCGGAGAACAGTTACATCTGCAGCTTTGGGCACAGAATAGGTTGGAAGACTGTTTCAGTGTTTTCCATCAGCACAAGATCATACCGACACAATGGGGGCCTGCAAAAGTAAGACAAGATATCCTTGCCAATCAAGTAGTAAAAATATCCCATTCTAGGAAAATAAATTGTATTATATCCTTAGGTTATAAAATTGTGGAGCAATGATTTCTAACATTATAGGAAAACGTTTATGGTAAATAAACATAGCCCACACCATCAATGAGATATAAAATTTTATTTACCACCTAACTATGTCCAGGTTTAAAGCAATAATAGAAAAGAGGTTAAAAAGAAATGACAGTTGTTGCCCCTGAATAATGACATTATGGGTGATATTTTTCTTCCCTTTTTGCACTTTCCTGATTTTATAAAATCAACATGTATTCCTTTGGTAATCAGGAAAAAAAAGTATTGAAAGTCCTATGGCTTTATGATGTAATGACTGTCCTCTTAGAAGAAACTTGTATTATTAAGTGTTTTAGGGAAAAGGGAATCCAGGGGCATCTGGGTGGCCCAATAGGTTAAGCCTCTGACTCTTGGTTTCAATTAAAGTCATGATCTCAGGGTTTGTGGGTTCAAACCTGGCTTGGGATTCTTTCTCTCTCTCTCTCTCCCTCTGTCTCCGTCCCACCCCCGCTCACAATCTCTCTCTCAAAATAAATAAATAAACATAAACATTAAAAAAAAGTTTTTTGAGGAATTCATAAGAATAAAGTGCTGACTGCTCACAGCATTTTCTGCTCTGGATCCTCTGGATGCTAGCACCAGACATTGGAGTGGCATTAGTCACAAAACATACATGCCACAACAGCTTTGCTCCTTCTTCCCCTCTTTGACTCTGCCCACCCGTGTACACACACACACACACACACACAGAGTTGCTTATTTTTTCTGAACCAATGAGGATAGGTTGTTTACCCCTTAATACTTCAATGTGCATTTCCTAAGAACAAGGACATTCTCAGTGCAGTTATCAAATTCAACCTGGAATAGTGCTTTCATACTGTCTCCATGGAATAAAATATTCCAAATATTTTGTACCTTTTTTATACTAGGCTCTGCATTTGCCAGACTTTCTTTTCCACAACAATTACCAGCTTGCAAGCAGGGTGGGTGGAGTGATTAGGGAAGAATTATGTAACTATAAGCATGTAACAACATTATTTCTTTGGATTAATTGGGCCATTTATCTTTAAGTTCCTACCAGGAAAATTTTCTTGAATTATGGGGTTACTCATTTTTATCAAGTCTATTTTTGAAAGTCCCTCACTTCCTTCATTGTAATTGATGAAGTCCTATTAAAACAGCAGACCAAGCGGGCGCCTAGGTGGCTCAGTCGGTTAAGTGTCCGACTTCAGCTCAGATCATGATCTCAAGTTTCATGGGTTTGAGCCCCGCGTCGGGCTCTGTGCTGACAGTTAGCTCAGAGCCTGGAGCCTGTTTCCGATTCTGTGTCTCCCTCTCTCTCTGACCTTCCCCTGTTCATGCCATCTCTCTCTCTCTCTCTCTCTCTCAGAAATAAATACAACATTTAAAAAAAATTTTTTTTAAACATCAGACTAAGGAGATTGGACAGGGACTAATAACATCTTTCAAAAACCAGGGCTTGTCAAACCCTGCTGATGGCTCACCTCTCTGGATGGGCAAGTGACCTTAACTTCATTCGGAGAATTCTGAGCTTATACTTCGGGCCTATTGTAGAGCCTGTAGAGAACACCAAGGAAATGGCTGCCACTTTATCCAAATCTTGATTAAATCTTGCAAGCAGACTCACTTGGTGGTATTTCTGAAATGTTGCAGGTTCACTGGAAAGAAGGAATAAAGTAAGTGGATATAGATTGCTAATGGAAGAAAACAGTGTTAAAGCCTACAAATCACTCATAAGCAGGTAGTCCCTTGACCTCACAGTCCTGGATTCCAAAGGATTGCATAAGCAAAGCTGCTGGCCCCAGGAATGATGAAATATGGCATAAGAGAGGAATGTTCTGCCTACTGTATGCCAGAAAGCATCCTCATCTCTTTACACATGTCTCCATTCCCCTGAAAATTTCTTCAAGATGACTATTATTATCTTCATTTGACAGACAAGGAAACAGATGCTTGCAGAGCTTAAACTCACCCAGGTCACAGCGCTTATCAGCATCAGTGCAGGGAATCAAACTCAGCTCAGAGTTCAAAGTTATAATCTTTCCATTAAACTGCATTGCTAGATGCATATGTATAGCCCAACTAGATACTAATTTAGAAGTTGTGCTCACGCAAATATTTTTTCAGTCTTGCCTCGCAAGTAAAATAGCTAAACCCTAATTTCAATACTTTTTTCCATATGTGTAATGCTTCCTACAGTTGGAATCTCAAATTGAGCCTAAGGAATATCCACTGGGGAGGTTCGCTGGGTCAGTGTCCCTCTGGAGATCTCGGGGAGTAGATCATGGTGAGCCCCCTGGGCTCAGAAATGGGAAGCTTGCTCTAGACATTAATCCTTAGTTTGGGGATTGGGGTGAGGGGGGTGTGTCACCCCAGCCTCACTAGAATCATGTGTTAAGTATTGGGGAGAGCAAAAGTGCCAAAAGGAAAACTAATCTGAAAGGTGCCCAGATTTTAGTTTCTCAGTACCGTCCTCACTAAAAGGAATGGGTGGGAGGCTTCGGGGAGAAATGGATGATTCCAGGGCTAGGTCAGGGGAAGTGCAAAGTGATCCTGTAACAGCCTGTGCGCGAGAAGGTATGGATGTGCTCACGGAATGGTGGAAATGTACCAAAGAATATAGAATCACTTCACACGAATTAGGATGGCTACAATTTCTTTTAAAAAACCCCAAAATAAGAAGTGTTGATGAGGATATGGAGAAGTTGTGACCCTTGTGCATTGTCACTAGGAATGTAAAATGGTATGCTCACCATGGCAAATGGTATGGGGTCTCTTCAAAGAATTAAAAATAGAATTACCGTATAATCCAGCAATTCTACTTCCGGGTATTTTTCCCAAAGAAACGAAAGCAAGGTCTCCAAGAGATATTTGCACGCCCATGTTCATAACAGCATCACTCTTAAGAGCCAAGAGGCAGAAGCAACCCAAATGTCCATCACTGGATTAATGGATTATCAACATGTGAAATATACATATAATGAATAGTATTCAGCCTTTAAAAGGAAGGAAATTCTAAAAAAAATAAAATAAAAGGAAGGAAATTCTGTCACATGTTACAACACGGATAAACCTTGAGGACATTCCGCTAAATGAAATAAGCCAATCACAAAAAGATGTATATTGTTTGACTCCATTTACATAAGGTATCTAAAGTAATCACATTCAGGGGCGCCTGGGTGGCTCAGTCGGTTGAGCATCCGACTTCGGCTCAGGTCATGATCTCACAGTTTGTGGGTTTGAGCCCCGCGTCGGGCTCTGTGCTGACAGCTAGCTCAGAGCCTGGAGCCTGCTTCAGATTCTCTGTCTCCCTTTCTCTCTGACCCTCCCCTGCTCACGCTGTCTCTCTCTCTCTCTCTCTCTCAGAAATAAATAAAACATTAAAAAAAAAATTTTTTTTTTTTAAATAATCACATTCATAGAAACATAAAGTAGAGGGGCACCTGGGTGGCTCAGTCAGCTTAGTGTCTGACTTCAGCTCAGGTCATGATCTCACAGTTTGTGGGTTCGGGCCCCACTTCAGGGCCTGTGCTGACAGCTCTGAACCTGGAGACTGCTTCGGTTTCTGTGTCTCCTTCTCTCTCTGCCCCTCCCCCACTCACACCGTTTCTCTCTCTCAAAAATAAACATTAGGGAAAAAATTTTTTAAAAAAACAAAGTAGAATGGTAGTTATCAGAGGCTGGAAGGAGAGAGAAAAGCGAGTTGTTCAATGGGTATTGGGTTTCAGTTTGCGATACAAAAAGTTCTGGAAATTTATTTCACAACATGAATATCCTTAACAGTACTGAACTGTATACTTATAAATGATTAAGATGATAAATTTTACATTATATGTTTTCATCACAATAAAAAATGCATTTAAAAAAGTTTTTAAATGTTTTATTTGTTTCTGAGAGAGAGAGACAGTGTGAGCAGGGGAGGGTCAGAGAGAGAGGGAGACACAGAATCTGAAACAGTCTCCAGGCTCTGAGCTGTCAGCACAGAGCCCAACGCGGGGCTCAAACCCATGAACCATGAGATCATGACCTAAGCTGAAGTCAGATGCTCAACCAACTGAGCCACCCAGGTGCCCCTAAAAAATGCATTTAAAAAGGGTACAGACCCAGTTTGAAGAGCTTCTACTAGCCAGATTCAAGACAACTTAAATATCAAAATCAATAAATAATGGTAGTAGCTCATTTTAAGTCTCTATTAATAAAATAAAAATCCAGAGCATCTGGATGACTTAGTTGGTTAAGCGTCCAACTTCGGCTCAGGTCACGATCTCGTGGTTCAGAAGGTTAAGCCCCGCTTTGGGCTCTCTGCCGTCAGCACATAGCTGCTTCAGATCCTCTGTCTCCCTCTCTCTAAGCCTCTCCCCTGCTCACACGCAAGTGCTCTCTCACTCTCTCAAAAATAAATAAACATTTAAAATAAAATAAAAATCCATGAGTCCATACTGATGTAACCAAATAAATGAATAAATAAATGGGGAGGAGAAAACTTTCCCTAAATAATGAATTAGAAAAATCACCATGTGGCAACCATCATAGTAACAATCTAACCACAAAACATCAAAACTAGTGGGTAAAAATTTGAAGAGTAATGGGACATTTACATGGTCTCAAAGTACCTCCTTGCAACATACTTATTAACACCAAGGAAAAACAGTAACTTCATAGTGGAGAAACTGGGCAAAAACCACCTTAATAAACTGATCCAAGTTAATGAAATGAATCAAAGTGTGGGCCTCCTAATAGAACACAAGGAGCCAAACATAATATCACTTCTATGCAGCTCTTGCCAGAGATGCATGATCTGAATGTCATCGTGAGGAAGCATCAGACAAAACCAAACCGAAGACATTCTGAAAATAACTGACCTGTACGTGTCAAAGTCAAGAAAGTCCAGGAAAGATGGAAGAACTATTCCAAAGTGAAGACTAAAGAGACAGGATAACCAACCTCAGCCAGTGATCCTGAATTGGATCCCTCTCCAGGAGCAGCTGTGGAACCACAAGAGTGCAGACTCCAGGAGAGGGTGAGGCCACCTGCAAAACCCAGTGGGGGTAGATGAAGGCAGGAGAGGAAAAAGACCCTTGGAGCTGGTGCAGCCTGTCTCGAGTACAGGTAGGACCTCCTCTTCCACCCTGGAGGGATGTCCGGAAATACACAGAGAGGCACTAACCAAGGAATTGATTCATATAAGAATAAAGGGAGCAAGAGCCAGTGAACAATATGTTATGACCAATAACAGGAGCCAGATGTTTGTTTCTGGTACTATGGCACACTAAACACCCTGGAAACAAGTCCTAATGAGAGATACAATTAAAACAAAAACAAAACTAAACTTTAGAATTGCACAGAACTAAGAGGAAAGTAAAGAATCCTGAGGAACTCTATGTGAAAGCAAATACTGAAATCGCTTTTTTTTGCAGAACTTGACAAACTTATTTGTTTATTTTTAATTTACATCCAAGTTAGTTAGCATATAGTGCAACAATGATTTCAGGAGTAGATTCCTTAATGCCCTTTACCCATTTAGCCCATCCCCCCTCCCACAACCCCTCCAGCAAGCCTCTATAAGAGTCTCTTATGTTTTGCCCCCTCACTGTTTCTATATTATTTTTGCTACCCTTCTCTTATGTTCATCTGTTTGTATCTTAAATTCCTCATATGAGTGAAGCCATATGATATTTGTCTTTCTCTGACTGATTTTGCTTAGCATAATACCCTCTAGTTCTATCCATAGTTGCAAATGGCAAGATTTCATTCTTTTTGATGGCCAAGTAATACTCCATTGTATATATACACCACATCTTCTTTATCCATTCACCCATCGATGGACATTTGGGCTTTTTCCATATTTTGGCTATTGTTGATAGCACTGCTACAAACATTGGGTGCATGTGCCCCTTCAAAACAACACACCTGTATCCCTTGGATAAATAAATACCTGCTAGTGCATTTGCTGGGTCATGGGGTAGTTCTATTTTTAACTTTTTGAGGAACCTCCATACTGTTTTCCAGAGTGGCTGCATCAGTTTGCATTCCCACCAGCAATGCAAGAGATCCTCTTTCTTTGCACCCTCGCCAACATCTGTTGTTGCCTGAGTTGTTAATGTTGGCCGTTCTGATAGGGGTGAGGTGGTATCTCATTGTGGTTTTGATTTGTGTCTCTCTGATGATGAGTGATGTTGAGAATTTTTTCATGTGTCAGTTGGCCATCTGGATGTCTTCTTGACAAACTAATTTTAAAATCCATGTGGGGATGCCTGGGTGGCTTAGTCGGTTAAGCATCCGACTCCAGCTCAGCTCATGATCTCACTCTTCGTGGCTTTGAGCCCTGCGTTGGGCTCTGTGCTGACAGCTCAGAGCCTGGAGCCTGCTTCAGATTCTGTATCTACTCTCCCTCTGCCCCTCCCCACTATGCTCTGTCTCTCTCTCTCTCTCTCTCCCAAAAATAAACAGTAAAAATTTTTAAAAATAAACAAATAAAGTAAAATCCATATGGTAATTCAAGAGACCCAGATAGTCAAAACAACTTTGAAAAAGACCAAACTTAGGAGAGTCACACTTCCTGATTTCAAAATGTGTTAGAAAGCCACAGTAACGTTACAGTAAGCTACATGACAATGTGGTACTTGCATAAAGATAGATATATAGATCAATGCAATAG